ACGGATGGCACCTTCTCCGGCCTTGTAGTTTCCGGGATCCATCTTGTCAGCTCCCTTGAGACCCTTGAGATGTAGCTTTCCCTTGTCGTCGTACGAAACAGTCTCCTTGCGAACCACTGCCCAATTTCGGTGGGCAATGTGTGGTAGACAAGCAGTGAGGAGCATGGCGACGATGCAGTCGTTGAGACTTCCGCAAAGACCTGGGATCTAAGACTTTTGTCAGTGGGGGGCGTCATGATGACAAGAATTCAGGGGAACATACAGTCATGCCGGTCAGTTCACTTCTGATAGGAAGCATTGTACCATCACGTTCGGTGAATTCCTCCTCCAAGGCCTTTTCAAAGCGGGGTCTGATTTTCTCGACGTAGTCCAAACCAAGGATTCGATCAGAGATGACAAGACTGGCGTAACCAAGAAGGCTGTGGAGACAAATGTTAGTTTGCTGCTGTTTTGGCAAAGACGGACCAGGAGTCGTGACTTACTTGCACAGTGAGTAGGTCCAGTTGGGTTCACAGGGGTACAAGCAGTAGACATTCCGATCCATGTTGTCGATCAAGGCATCGGCGAGCTCTTGGTAGTTCTTCTTGTAATGATTTCCCTCACCGATAACAAAATCTAAACTACCCTTCTCGTGGTAGGTACGGTCACCGGAAGCAGACTCCCACAGACCCATTGCGACACCCAAGTGACCAGTAAGCATCTGAGGAGTCAGTACAACACATTTCTCATCTGCAATAAAAACACTTACAATATTGTCCTGCTTGATAGGATCAAGGTCACTGGGGTTGAACTTGCCAAAGAGCTGTTCCCATTTCCAGTAGCTATACCCACGTCAGTATTTGGACCGGTAAATGGCTGAGAAAGACAAGAATACTTACTACATGATGCTCTTTGTCGTGCTCTTCTCGATGGCATTCTTGCAGGCCTGCAGAAGAGCTCCATGGTAGCCAGGAGCGTAGTGGGTCTGGTACAAAGCCAAGCTGTCAATCACACCGTAAAGCTGGTAGCGGACTGCTGCGGTCTGGAATTGATCGATCACATCGTGGTAGCTGAAGTCGTCAAACTCTGCAAGACCTCTCTCGATCATGTGCTGAACGAATCTGAGAGTATGCTCATCAAGCTCACGAGCTTCGGGAGGGGGAGCAGGAGTAGCGCTGGCCTGCACCCGGGCAACTTCCTTCATCAAGTACTTGTTTCTCGCCTGCTGTTTGGTGTACCCTGCGTTGCTTGCGTTGGCGCACTTGTACCAGATGTAGAGAAGTCCGGTGGTGCAAATTCCAGCCCACAGGTAGCCTGCCGGTTCGAAAAGTTGATCTTCTGCGAGAAACCCGGCGAGGGCTGCAGAACCGAAGTACAGTGCCAGTGGGAAGAAGACACCTCCCATGCCGAACCAGACCAGCATCACCAGAGGAATCAAAGCAACCGTGGCCACGAATGCAAGGAGAGAAGGGATGGTGGCGACCGCGGTCAGACCAGCACCGGGGAACAAGAGACCCAAAGCTGCAGCTCTTCGTGTTGGATCTGCAGAATATCGGAAGACCCAGAGACCAAAGGCACTGAGACCAAGGTATTGATACATTGTCCTTTGCTGGTAATACTTCTTAACCATTCCCAATCCGGCCGATCGTGGAATGAGAACATCTTGTCGCCTGTGTCAGCCAGTTGACCGCATGTCGTTGTTGTTCCACGAAAACGTACCTGAAAGGGCGAAGGAAGCCATTCCTTTGCCGTGTGGGATCTTGACGTCGGCAACGGCCATATCTTCAGGAGGGGGAGATTTCCCCAGAAGTTCACTCGAGGGCGGGGTAGGAGAACCAACATCATTGACGTGCCCATTCAGCTGAGCGCTTAATTTCCTAATGTTGGTCCCATGGAACCCATTGACCTTGGAGTGTTCAAGCTTCTGAGGAGTAAGAAGCTCGGTAGTAGTCTGTGATGAATTGTCAGCAGCTTGTCAAAGACGACGGAGAGCCAAACAAACACCTACTGAGACAGGCATCTTGAGGGTCTCTGCAGTTGACAACGTTTTGGGATAATTTCGCCCTTACTGGCGTACTCTGTTTCCAGATACTCTTTTATACAACTAGAAGCAGGCAGGAAAGACTTTGTCGACCCAGCCCCATCCCCGACAGAGGGACACTCCAGCCCCAATTCATTGATTTTGCCATGTCATAGTCGGTCCGCGAACTGTGCTATAGTCATGATGGTCAATGTCAGGCTAGGAGATGGTGAGAATCAGTCGTGGTCGGAGGTCGGCTCGGAAGCGGTCGGTCGGGCGGTCGGGGCTTGGAATATAGAAACTGCCCTAAAACGCGGTCCGATATGCGGGTCGTTCGCCCGGGGGTCCGGGTTCAGGTCAGTCCACGGGCCTCCCGCTATTCCCCAGACTTCCCCAGGTATATAGAATTGCAGGGCCTTGCCACCCAAAACAGATGATTGCAAATGCATCGGTTATCAAACTTTTCTGAAACCGTGCAAGAATCGATAGTCGTCGAATATGTCTGCCTCGGAGAATCACAAACGTGATCCAGATGAGAACATTGAGGCTGTGCCCACTGAGTTCCATCATAACGACCACCACCTCGGGATTGACCATCGCGCGAATGATGACCGAGTGGACGAAGCCAAGGGAAAAGATGCCGACGCAATTCCCAAGAGCTATTGGTACTCTTGGAGGTTTCTGGGCACCATGTTTGCCATTGGTACGTCCTTCATGGGCGGGATCGGAGGTGAGTTTTGACTACTGAAAAATCTCTTACAAGATACAATCAAAGATCAAGAAAAGGCTTACATGGTCAACCCTGGCCTCGTTAGGTATTGCACTGATTTCACCGGTTCTCTCCGAGATCAATGCGGATATTGGACCTTCACCAAACATCAATTGGGTCTCGTTGGTGAACCTATGCGGCGGTGCTGTCTTCTTCTTGATGGTTGGTCAGCTTTCTGATATCTTTGGACGAAGATGGTAAGGAAAGAATTCACTGTCTTACGGAGGGCAGGCTTGGTTTGCTGCGCAGGGCTAACAATATCGTAGGTTCTTCATCGTTGGGTGCGCTATCGCTCTCATCGGATCCATCATCGGTGCCACAGCTCATAATGTCAACACTCTCATTGGTGCAGAAGTGTTCCTGGGTATAGCGGTTGCATTTCAACAGTCGTTTTTCTGGGTCGTCGCCGAACTTGTGCCAATGCGCTGGAGATACATTGCAAACTCTTACTGCTACCTAATGACCACTCCCACCAGCCCTCTGGCTGCAAGAGTTGCCTATAGCTTTCAGAATTACCCAGGACAATGGCGCAACAGGTAACGCATCAATGAGCAAATTTTCGCTGTCGGCTTGCTGACTAGGACCCTAGCTTCTACATGTTGATTGCCATAAACACCGTCAGCATGATCTCCTGGTATCTCTTCTACCGTAAGTGTATTCACACACATCAGATGTCACATCTGTCACAGCATGACTAACGCAATGCTCGTTTCACATAGATCCACCGACATTTGGTATGCTACATCGTCAAAAGGCGGCCAAGGATCTACTGGTCAACTTCGACTGGATCGGTCTCATTCTGTACAGTGGCAGTCTGTGCATCTTCATCTTCGGCCTCAACTGGGGTGGTGTTCTGTTGGTATTTCTGCCCCCCAGTCGGGCAAAGTACTGACAGTGCTTGCAGATATCCATGGAAGTCGGCTTCAGTGATCGCAACGATGGTCGTAGGTGGCATCACTCTCTTTGCGGTCTTGCCAATGTACGAAATATGGGTACACAAGAAAGGCAAAGAACCATATCTGCCACTCCACCTGTTCAAAAATATTCGCTTCCAATCTGCCGCCTGGAACACCGGCATCGCTGCTGGCGTATACTACGGATTCGGTATCGTGTTCCCCCAGCTTGTCAGCACTGTCTATTACGGCAGAGGTGAGATCAGCGAGTACGATATTGGTACACTTGCCGGCCTTGTGCCCATGGCTTTTGTCTTTGCTCAGATGGTCCACGGCCCCATTGTCTGGTTCACAGGACCCAAGTGGGCCATGATTGTCTTCGCCATCATTGGCTGTGCATTGTTGACCGCTGCGGCCGCGAACCTCAACGACATGGCTCTGACTCAAGGCCTCATCATTCCTGGAGCATTCGCCATGGGAATTGTCGAGTCTGTGTCGATCACAACGTCAACCTTCCCCCTCAGATCACAGGAAGAGATCGGCCAAGGAGGTGGTCTGAGTGGCAGCACGCGTAACTTTGTCTCCGCTATCGCCGTGGCCATCTACACTGCGACACTCAGCAATCGCTTGGTTCAGACCATCCCGCAACAGGTTTACCCCGTTGCGAGGAGGATGGGACTGCCAGAGAGCTCGCTCTCAGCGCTTGCCTCTGCGTTGAAAGGGTCTGCATCATTCTCAGCTGTCGACGGCTTGACCCCAGCCATCCGGGAGGCAGTTCAGGAGCCCTACCGTCTTGCCTTTGTAGGTGCTTCGAAGACGGTGTTTTTGGTATCTCTCGCATTTTCGGGCACCGCAATCATTCTGGCTTGTTTCACAACCAACAATGATGAGAGCACGGCCAACTATGTTGCCGGAAACATTTACAATGCGAAGGAAGAGAAGATGGTGGAAAAGGAGTACTCTCATGCATAAGCACGATAACGTGCTTTGATAGGTAGAGGATGGATACCTTGGCTTTGAGTGCATGGTCTGATGTCGATGAGAGCCAAATGTTTGGATGTTTTGGAGCCTCGAGGGGCAAACTGTCTGAGCGAGGACAGTTTTTGCGCCCCCGGGGTCCAGTGTAAAAGTATTCTTCTGTGGGACGAGAGCATCTTGAGGAAATATTCCACGAGCAAATTATCTTCTTGACAACTAGCGTCTTGATAGATATGTTTATGACACTGTCTGTTCTAGAAGTAGGCTAGATGTGATGTATTGTATTCACTATCATCGACTACATAGAAACTCGAATGGGTACAGGGATGAAGCCAGCAGTGGGAAAAAATCACACTATCAATCATACACGATCCTTCTCCAGCAGTTCGGCGTAAATACTCAGGGATTCGCCGATGAGGTTGACAGTCTGCCACACGCTTCTTGACTGATAGAGCTTCGCCCAAAGTCTAACCACCATGGCGCTCAGCCTATGTTTCTGCTCAAGAATGCTTTCGTAGCTTGCCTTGTACTTGTCCTCGGCGACCAGCTGCATCGTGAAATCCAGGACTCTCTGCTCGGCCGCCGTAACATCCGTCAAGGATAGAGCGGTGACTGAATCAAGCCACTTGGCCAGTAGGACTGCACACTCGAGGGAACACAGAGCGTGTTGATTTGACCAGTGGATCATTTGGGTTCGTGCGACGTAGTTGATTCCCAGCTTCACGGGAATACTGAGGGCGTGTGCGCAATGCAAGGCTGCACGAGTCATTTGATCGCCACGTCTCGCTTTGGGGGATTGGTGTAGAGAATGCGCGACTTGTTGGGGGTCCCAGCTGTTCAACGATCTCGTAGGGCCAAAGTTCATATTGAGTCGAATGTAGGCTAGGCGAAGGAGTGCCGTGGACGTGAACGTCAGAGGGCCGTGAGGATTGAGGGGGTCCATGGAAGATTCTTTGTTCAACTCCCAAAAGTTTGTCCACCGTTTCAGCGCGCGTTCGAAAATTTTCATTTCTTCCTTGGAGAGGCTATTATCCTCAATTCCTCCCTCGACCACGGGCATCCGACCATTTCTCACCAACCATATTTGTTGGATGACGGCGTGGATCAGACCGTAACAACCCAAAGCCGACACCTTTGGTTGGGGACACGTCGGCTGGTGCTGGTGCTTGTTGGTGAACAGACTTGAGTAGGCTTCTTTGAAATCACGTCGGTCCGTCCCCGACTCGGCACGAGCTTCTCTCCAAGCTTGTTCACTGCTTGCCCTCCATTCCTTTTCGGAGCATGGAAGTTCGAAATTCGCTTCGTTGGTGAGCATCATCGGCGGGAGGTCAAACAAAATTGTGTGCAGGTTGAAGAAACAAAATATTACCAGATACGTTCTCTTCAGCGTCTCCAGATGTATCCACGACATCCAGTCATCTGAAGCTGACGCGTTTGTTGAAGCGCTGCCGCTTCTGCTGTTCTCCCTAACGATCGAGTGTAAAATACTTCGTATAGATAATGCATCGGCTGCCGCTGGCTCATGTTTGTACCATGAAGAAACCGCAATCAGGAGCAAAAGTGTCTGCATCATTTGCATCACAAAAGATGTTTGGTCCTTTTTCTGTGTTTCGCCGGACTCACCAGCACTGGCGAATGTTTGATGTCGACTAATTCGTTCCAGTGCCACCGACCTTGCGACGCGATAGAGCTCAACACCAAGTTCGGGTTCCATGGTATAACGTGCACCGAGAGCTGTGATGGCCAGAAGTAACTCGGCGTGGATCGAATCCAGTTTAAGAGTTGGCACATGGAAGAATGGATAGTGATCGTGGAAATTCTGAAAATAACCTGCAACTAGGCGCGACAAAGCGTGCCGCGAGGGAAGCACAAAGTTGCTGTCTATGCAACCAACAAATGTCGCCAATTCCTCGAGAACACTCTGTCGACATTCGGACGAGACAAAAAGTTGACCACTGTGTTGTCTGGGCTCTGTCTGGTCTTCTGGGCGACGGCCTGGCGTTGACCTTGCCTCTGGTTCAAGAGATGGAAGACGGGAGCAATATCTAGATAATGAAGACTGCACCGTAGGAGCTTCTGATACAGAAGACGGCCCGAAAGGTGCTACGACAGCGGTGTACCCTGGCTGTGGCAGAGTCAGACTGGGGCCTTTCGTTGCGATGTCCACCATGAAAATTGAAGGTGATCCCGGCGTTGAATATATAGCTGGGAGAGGCTGGTGCGTCAGAGAGAAAGGGTGGGCCTGGCTCGGTACACTGTCCATGAACATGCCAAAATCCTGTGCAAAGGGGTCAAAGTGACAGCTCTCGAGACTTGGATCGTAGTCATAGTTGATTGTTTCTCCAGAGAATGAAGTATCGTGTGTCTGCTCCGGGTCAACGCCATTAAGGTCTTCGAGCAGGATCTGTGAGGAGGAACGAACATCAGGCTGCACTCCATGCGTGGGCTGTGAGAGCTCAATACAGTCTGGGACCTGGGTGGAGGTGCCCGGGGTTTCCTGGAACGATGGTTGTACACCGACATCGGAGGACGTGAGTGACCAGTTGAGGATAATGGATGAGTTGGCCGAGTCCAGATCTGAGCTTTGATTTGGAAAATTGAAGGTTTCAGACTGATGAGTCAGTCGAACATGTCTTGTCAACAGATCTCTATCCTCAGGTTAGAGTCGGAGAAAGAGCAGGGTAGAGTGTGGACGGGCTTTCTTGTGAACGCTTTTGAACAGTTGGAGCATTTAAAGGGCTTCTCCTTTGTGTCTAGTATTCATAATTAGTAGTGTATGATGAAGAGCCAATGCGGTGCCTTCTTACGCGATCTTTCATGCCGCTGAAGATGCTCTAGGCGAGCAAACCACCGGTCGCAGCGATGACACCGATGAGTTTTCTGGGCACTAGTCGATCCGGAAGGCATTTTGGCTTGCAACACTGCTGACTTCATGTTAAGCTGGGGTTGGTGAGAAGCATGTTGATTTTGGGGAAATAGGAGGACGTATACCCTCTTTTTAAGAAGCTGGAGAGTCCTTACCGAGAATGGTGTCTCTCCAAATTGGAGACTCAAAAAAGCCGACCATGTTCGGAGTATGTCACTCACAATGCTATTTGTCCATCTCCGCTATTTGGAAACCATACGTTCGTAAGCATGAGCGAGGAAAAGAATGTCATAGACACGCTAGGTGTCCTTTCTGTGGTCCATTGTAAGCACGACAGTGAGGCAGTCATCGTAGATCTGAGAAAAATCCGCAGAGTGGAACGGAAGACTTCAATCATGCCGTCGGCCTCTCGAAAGTTGGCTGTCAACTCCATTTTGGGGTTCTTCAAGGCTCATCTGAGGCTTTGATCTCTTGATTGCTTAGGATTCCAACAAGAGTGTTGCTTGTCTGGATTGATATTCCACCTAGATCCAAAAGAGTTATTTGACGGATTTCGCATTGTTGGAAGCGTCCTTCAAGACACGCGTCAGACACAAATCATGTCAATCACATCGACCATGCGTGCACAGGTACTAGAGGCATTCAATCAGCCATACATATTCAAAAAGATTCCGAAGCCATCAAGTCCCAAAGGTCATGAGCTTCTTGTCAAGGTTGAAGCAGCATCATACTGCCATACCGATGCCGTCTTTGCGTCTGGTGCAATGTGGCAGACTCTTCCTCGTGTAGGATCGCATGAATTTGCGGGCACTATAGTGGCTTTGGGTGAGGCTGTTTCGCCGGATCAAAATCTCCAAGTTGGTCTTCCAGTCGGTGTACCAGGAAGAGCGTTTCATCCTTGCGGCAAATGTTACGAATGTACCAACAACGACGGTGACCCCGATGGGTATGGCGTGTGGTGTACCAAGGCTGGAAATCTAGGTCTTGCCTGTGACGGAGGTTTTGAGGAATACTGCCTAGTCGATTCACGCCAAGTTGCACCAATCCCATCAAATATGACAGCCGTTGAGACAGCACCTCTTATGTGTGCGGGTGTGACCATCTGGAATGCCCTACAGACAGCAAGAGTACGAATGGAGACCGGAGGCGGTATAGGGAAGACTATCGCCATATCGGGAGCAGGAGGTGGTTTGGGGCATCTAGGAGTGCAATTCGCTGTCAAACTGGGCTGCAAAGTCATTGCAATCGACACAAGCGACGCAGCTTTGGATCTCCTCAAAGGTATTGTGCAAGACCTTGGACCTTGGGGAGTGAATGTCTCCATTGTAGACGCCAGAAAGCAGACTGCGGAACAAACTCGATCTGCCATAAGTCAACCTCGGGCTGGCCTGGAAGATGAGGTTGGCGCAGATGCAGTCCTGATCCTTCCAGAAGCCCAACAAGCATTTGACTATGGCATGAAACTGCTCCGAAACCACGGCATCTGTGTGATGGTCAGTTTTCCCAAAGACGGGCTTCATTTTCACCCACGCGACTTGGTCTTTCGCCATATTTCTATGGTTGGTGTTTTGGTGGGAAGGAATCGACAGCTCAGAGCCATGTTGAATTTTGCAGCAAAAGAAGGAGTCAGAGCAAGGGTGACAACGTATAAGCTGGAGCAGCTCAATCAGTTGGTCGCTGATTACCATCAAGGTGCGAGCGGAAAGTTGGTGGTGGACATGTCAAAATAGCTTGTGATGGCTTCTCATCACGGTACACGAAGATATAAGGCATGGAAACATTGACATTTAGACCGTAGAGAAAGAAGAATGATCACACAGAAGTGTCTGTATTCGCAAGCTGAGAGGGTTTATTTTCTACGTACCGATCAGCTGTTTATTGTCTTACTCTTCTTCAGATGATTCGCGTTTCATTCTTCAACTCGCTCTCACTATGTCCTCAATCCGATCCATTAAATGATGACTGACCCAGAAGAAGGCAATAGACAACAGTCCCATCGAGAACAGGACCAATGTCGCCATGACGAGATTATAAACCTCGCTTGATTCCATGTTTGGGATACTCTCCGATATTGAGCCCTCCTCTTCCTTATTGCAATCAGCCTTGCGTTTCGTTCGTTTCGTACCCTACACCACATCAACATTGTTTCGGAGTCTGGAAGATTCGGAGGAACAACGAGAAGATCACACGTACCTCTACAGTCCCGATACATAAGTCTGGAAGCATAGATCGAGCCTCTCTACTGTGACTTGCCACTTCGAAAAGTTCAGTCACATCTGTTCCACCTTGGTCCAGCAAGAGTTCTGCGCCGCCACTTTACATTTGAGAACACGGATGTTTTCAAGAGGTTGGGTTGCTTACGGGTGCTGGTGCTGAAAATATGTGACATCGTACACTCTCTGACCTATCACAACATACAGGTCATCTATTGTATTGTGGCTGCTAATGTCGTCCCACGGAGGATACAGCGCCATCTTTGCAGACTGATCACGACGCGATATGTCTATCGAGGAAAAGCAATGATCGATCACGGGAAGCGATTACACAAATGGGAAGAGTGGCATTAATAATTCGACAACCCTTGAACAGGGCATGCAGAAGTATGCTTGATGGTCAAACTGGTTGGACTGTTGAGAGGATGTCATTCTGAAGCTCCACTTTTGTTCTACGCCAGATACGACAGAGGTGAGTACGCAGACATGACCTTCGTCGAGCCGAGTCATATTGCTGTTGCAACGTTGAGAGGAAGGAACGGCATTGAGACCCCAATTTGGAGGACCAAGGTATGTATGTACAGTCTGATCTCGCGGACGAACTCCGCTCCTATGGCCAATGACCTATCGGAGAACGGACTACCGGTATTGCTCACATTGGCTCAATTACCTCTAATTTGATGTTATAGTCTACACGAATCCATGCTTGTTCAATTGAGCTTTGTGGGTAGCTCCTTTCCATCAAGCCATAGTTCCAGGTTGGTTGCCGTGTCTTCATACCATCGGTTCATGACCCCTTCCTCCACATATCCCATGTGAGGACTCAAAAGAACTGTACTCCTCCCGTCTGCTCCCCATTTTGTGCATCTCCATGGACTATCCATTGGCAATGGCTCCTCATTGTATACGTCCAGAGCCGCCCCTTTGATCTTTCCGGCATTCAGCTTGCTCAGCAGAGCTTTTTCGTTGACAAGAGGACCTCTCGATGTGTTGACCAGGAATGCAGTGGACTTCATGAGGCTCAATTCGTCCTCTCCTAGGATATTTCGACTTCGATCTGAGAGTACATAGTGTATGCTGAGCACGTCGGCTTCTGCCACCAAGGCTGCCTTACTCTTTGCGACCTGGAACGTGCCTCTGGGAAGATTGAATGACTCGGCCTTTCTATCCACCATTTCTTGGGTGAGATTGCTTGACCATGCCAAAATCTCCATTCCAAATGCATACGCCCCGACTGAAGCGACCCGTGCCCCCAGATTGCCAAAGCCCAACAATCCCAAGGTCTTGCCTTTCAGACCTATGGCAGGGGAAATCTCCCAAAGGCCATTCTTCACTGCAGCATCATCACGAGCAATATTCCTAGCGAGCCCTAGGATAAGAGCCCAACAATGTTGCAACGTCGAGTCGATTGAAGTAGGAGGTGTCTTTTCGTCCCCTTTTCCAAGCCCCCTTGCTCCTGCGACTATGATTTCATGTTGGGTACACGCGTCCAGGTCAATGGCGGAGTTCTTCATGCCGGTTGTTAGCAAAAGTTTTAGGTTTGGCAGTGACTGGATGACCCCCTTGGGTAACGGAGTTCGCTCTCGCATCGTCGATATGACTGTGAATGGTTTCAGGAGTAGCACCAGCCTTTCTTTTTCTTCATTTGATCGAGGGTTGATTGTGTCTTGAAACACTTCTACTGATATCTTGTGTTCCAGGTGTTTGAACTTGGCTGCAGCGATACCTTGATAGTCGTCGAGAACTGCAACTTTGATTGCGCTTGATGCCATTTTGTTTGGTCTTTTTTAATCGAATGTGAGCTCAGTAACACAACGAACCTTATGAGAACACGCCAACTTTTGTCCAGAAAAGAACATTCCCATTCGGTGTTTCTGCAGTTGGCAAGAATGGCCCACAACACTTCATATTCTACCATTCTCCCCAATTTGGGGATACGAAGATCCATATGTTTCCCCGATATGGTAGTTGTTCAGACATTCATGTCATCCAACGTAAGACGGTGGAGAGGAAAAGCTGCTCGAACTTCAAGGGACACAGATTTCACTAGATCAGCAAGTACATATTGAAGAAGGATCCCTGAGAACGGAAACATCTGGTGAGCATTTTCTCGAGTGTCCTGATCTACCAGCCTGTCTTCATCATGCATCCTGCCCCGGGTTTCATCCTTGTAGCGTCCATCATCGCACTGCTCATCAGATGGGCGAACAAAACCGACATTCCGAAGATCGAGAACCTGCCAGAATTGCCCGGTGTGCCCATGTTTGGAAGTTTGTTTCTTCTGGGGAAGCATCATGCAAGAAACTGTGCTAGGTTGGCGAAAGAGTATGGCGATGTGTTTCAAGTCCGGCTAGGGAACCGTGTAAGTATCTGCTCTGCTTGCCAGAAGAAGACCATCGTTTGTCTGGCTGACTGACGGCGTCGATTGCTCCAGCGCTTCATTTATGCGAACTCATTCGAAGCTGTCAAGGAAATCTGGATCAGGAACCAATCTGCTTTGATGTCTCGACCCAAACTTTGGACCTTTGACGTCGTGTCGGAAACGCAAGGAGTCTACACTTTGGGCACGTCACCTTGGTCCGAGTCCCTGAAAAAGGCTCGAAAGGCTGCCGCGACAGCATTAAACAGGCAAGCCGTCCAGACTTACTTGCCCTTCATCGACCTGGAATGTACGACCAGCATCAATGAGTTGTTTCAAAACGGCAAAAAGAGCTACGATATCGACCCCAACGGGTATTTCCAACGCTTCTCCCTCAACATCAGTCTGACCCTGAATTACGGTATTCGCATTCAAGGGACGGTCCATGATCAAATGTTGAACGAGGTCGTCGCGGTCGAACGAGAGCTTGGAAACATCCGCGGCATCGCGCACGGCTGGCAAGACTATGTGCCCCTGCTTCGACTGTTACCGGGCTACAAGGCAAATGCCATCAAGTTTCGTGCTCGGAGGGATGAATATCTCCTTGACTTTTACGAACAACTGAAAGAGAGGATGGCCAAAGGGACGGATCATCCTTGTATCGCTGGGAATGTGTTGAAGGATCCCGAGGCACAACTGACGGACAGTGAGTTTCGCCGGTGGATAAGCCCTGAGGTGTCGCTGATGGGAGAGTCTAGATGAACTCAAGTCAATCTGTTTGACAATGGTCGCCGCCGGACTCGATACTCTGCCAGGAAACATCAACATGACCATCGCTTACCTTTCTTCGGAACATGGTCAGGAAATCCAGGAAAGAATGTACGACGAAATTATCAAGTCGTATCCAGACGAGGATCCGTGGGACGCTTGTTTGTACGAAGAAAAGTCTGAATTTGTGGTGTCTTTTGTCAAGGTAAGAAATGTTTGAGCTCGGAGGTTCATAGCTTGCCACTAAATTGGACAACAGGAGGTTCTTCGTTACTGGTCTACCCTGAATCTGTCCTTCAACCGACAAAGCACCAAAGATATCACGTACAAAGGAGCATTGATCCCAGCAGGAACTCCATTTCTCATGGTAAGAAAGAATTTGAAGATTACTGTTTGTCCAAACTTCTCACTGCTAATATTTTCCCGGGATGTCAAGAACATGTGGGCCGCCAACCACGATCCGGAACATTTCAAGGATCCCATGCGATTCATTCCCGACCGGTTCATGGGTCTCAGCACCGTGGGTGAAGGTACGCAACATTTTGGTTACGGCGCGGGAACTCGCATGTGTGCCGGTGTCCACCTTGCAAACCGAGAGCTCTATGTCGTCTTCACTCGTCTGGTTCTCGCGTTCCGCATCCTCGAGACGACGAATCCCAAAAAGAGACCGATATTGGACACTATCGAATGTAACTCGGTCCCCACGAGCATGGTCACTCAACCCAAACCGTTTCAAGTCAGATTCGTCCCTAGAGATTCAAGCCGTTTGGAGGGTTGGGTCAATAGTAGTATGGAGAAGACTGCACATCTGTGAGAGAAGAGAAAGGAACAAAAAAGATTGCCGAGGTCGGACTGGAAATGGGCACCGGTGGCTGGGAGAGCGGGTACGAATGATCGCCTGAGTGAGGTCTCTGCAAGTGGGTCAGGTAAACACATATGACATATCGCCGAGCTTGTTTCGCACGTTTTGTCATAGAAAAGTATAATGAACATTCGTTCAATGTCGAAACAATCTCTAGCTGGGTTGATATAAAATTTTGAGTATCGAATTATAGCTATCTCTATTTGAGTATGTACGCGTTGCAAAACGACTACTTTTTCGGTGCAAACAGCAACGGTGCCTTCTCACAGATTAGTGGCTGGTTGGCCGACTCTCAATTAGATGTAAGCATGAGCTCATGTCTATCGCCGCGGAGAGATGGCTGTTATGTATCCGGTTTGTCTCTCGACGCCAACGACGGTCCTTTTTTGAGTTTTCAGAGAGCGGCCATCAATATATTAGTGACGGTTGATATCGTGTCGTCGTTGCTAAGGTGGTTGTCCATTCCTTTTAGCACTTTTGGAATCTAGAAGAACCCAGGGCCGAGAGGGAAGGCAGGATCACCGTTGCCCTGGGTGGCGTTCTGAGCCTTGACGGTGAACTTGGGGTTCATGACCTGGTCAATGACATGAACGACGCCGTTCTTGATGGGCACATCGTTACCCAAGACGCGAGCATTCTGGATGAAGTTTCGTCGCTGGATGTTGATCTTGATGTCTTGATCTCCCATGGTCTTGAAGGTGGTTCCGTTCTTCCACCCCGACGAGTAGGTGATTTGGTTGGGGACGATGTGGTACTTGAGCATGGCGGCCAAGTCGGCCTTGCTGAGACCATAGACGGCCTTTTCGACCTCTCGGAACGCGTCATCTCGGGGAGCAAAGATGGTAACTTGATCTAAACTCTCGACTTCATCCAACAGACCGGCACGACCAAGGGCGGCGATGAATCTGGTGGCATTCGCGGCCTTGTTGTCCAACTCGTAAGCGACACCTTGGGGGAGGTTGAGCACGTCGTCAATGGCATAGACGATTCCACCTTTGAACTTCATGTAAGTTGGGGCCTGGGCGAGATAGCCTCTGCCGGAGACAAAGGCGGTCTCGAAGGTTCGGGTGTCGAAACGACCCATGACGACTTGGCCACCGGGGACAGTGGTCCATGGCTTTTGCTTGACAGCGGTCTTGTAGGGGGCAAAGGTGGTTGACAGGTTGGTGTGGACGCCATCGAGGATGTGGTATCCAATGACGGCCTGCAAGTAGTCGATGCCGGCCAACTCCCATTCCTCGTAGTATCGAGTATCCCAAGGGAATAGTCTCAGGGCGATGTCGCTTGGTGCGAGGATGGTGACGTTGGTGAGACTGTTCAATGCACTGGCAAGAGCAGGAACCTGGCCGACATTCTCGCTGAGGTAGTGGAACCCAGCTGTCTTGTTGAGAAGGGTAAGCAGGTCCATGTTCGAGGTGTCTGGGAGCTGGAGAGGCGCAGCCAGGACCGAAGCAGCCAAGGCTGAGATGGCGAGGACCTTGTTCAACATTTTGGATTGGTTGACGTTCTCGTTTGAGGTTTCCGAGATAAGTTAGACAAGAAATTGCAGATGTACAAGGAAAAGGAAGACGAGTTCAGATGAGCTGCCCAGGGTAGGGTGATTTATAGGTCTCTCGCATCCTCTTTCACAAGCTACGGTTGTGGACCTGCACGTAATGCCCTTACCTTCCAAGAGTATACTATCGAAAACGAACCGAAAGAAAATTCCTTGTTCGGGCTCTTGAACTCGAGCTACCATGGACCAGAGGTTGTGTGTCTAATCCACACCAGCTACTGTCGGTACAAAAAAGAGGCCGGTTGTAGCGAGTTGATAGCAAGTTGATAGCGGGTTCCAATGGATCTTCGGACTGCCAGTATTGAGGACGCACGCCATATCGGCTGGCAAAAAACGTGGACCTTGTGGGTCTGGGGACGAAGTTCATGCGCGATATTCAGCGAGAGGACTGACGTTTACTGGTGATGACAAGAAACGAGCGGAGCGAGATGGAAGTCTTGCTGTTGGAATGTGGTGTTGTACGTGGTGTTGACAAAGGCAGAAGCGACTTCTGTGAGTACCCTAGACCAGGACAAGGCAAGTGCGTTAAGATAAATGCGGCAACTGCGGCGAGTGCTCGATGTGGACTGATGGTTGCTGATAGGCCACCGACTTCGGCAGAGACTTCGTTCGGCACGAGGGTGGAGTTGTAGTGCGATGCAGAATTTTTATCTGATAAGATTATCTGATACTAGTATCTGATCTGATAAAGAGATTGGCTGTTCCGCCTCCCACTCCCCCATATGGTTCAGTCCTGTCGCTTCCATCATGCAGCCGCCGACGAAGGCCAAGATGGGCGGAAGCTCTTGGCTGTTAGGACTTGGCACTTTTTTTTACCCTCACGCTCCGTCTTCGGCTGTACTCTGGACTTGTACGGAGGATACCCGATCGTTAGCAGTTCCTACACGTACGCATCTGTCTCTCGGCACGAATTGGGGCACGATATCCTCAATAGCGCTCCAAGAACTCCAAGACTAGACTCTTTTTCCCTTGGGTGACGCATTCCGACAACGGAGGCAGACGTTGGCCAGTCGGTAAAAGACTCATGTGCTTGGGAACTGTACCTACCTTAAGCTAAGCGTTCTCTTTGGATGGACTGAAGCCGAGAATTGACCACGAGGGCGTAGCTTGTTGGCAAAGACGGTACTTGTTGTGCTATAGGATGCCATCATGATCGCTCTACTGATGTTGGCCGAGGAAATGTAGTTCCACTTTGCTACGATACTATGCGACTCTCTCGGCTGACAGATGCCGAGCAAACTTCTGGGTTCGACAGCTATTGAAAATTCTCTGTGAGCTTTTTATTCCAGCCTTTAGCCTGCCCGCTCAAGCTTTCAAACTTAACGAGTCATGTCACATGGCTAAAAGAAAGTCAGAATATGGGAAAGCCCTTTGGATTAGGTACGTTGGTACTGGATGCCAATTGGAGATCGTACGTCCGAACCATGGTATTCACCGAGAACTGTTGAGTGATACTATACACGCAGGAAATTTGTTAATTATATCGATACTGCGTGCTGTATCATCTATCTCTTCAAAAGTCGCTTCGCATGACACTCTCACTTCAAATCTTGTCAAATATTCAGGCAGCAAATTGACCATGAAGACTTTCAGCTTCAGATGGTCCTGGATGACTTCACGTTTCTTTTGCTCCAACAATGGTGAAGCTGTTTGCACACCCGTTTCCTGCGCCCCGGTTACACTTCCGCACCAATAACTGTTCTAAATCTGAATTCTCTCGGTCTTTTGCGCGCTCCAGGCCACTTCCTCGGCCATGCCAACCGATACCACGAGCGGAATCACCGATGCAAGCAAATTGCAAGAGATGTTGGCGGGAAGGAAAAGTGGGACTTTCAATAGCAAGAGAACAACCGGACAACCTAACAAACCCCCGGTCAAGGCCTCCACTCCAGGCGAGCTCTCGTCTACATACCTATCAGCTAGAAGGGCTCAATGGATCATGATCTCTACAGGTGAAATACTTTTGAAACAATGTTTCGCATTGATGCTGGCTATAATGAGCAGAACACTTCCCTTCCCACCTTCCCATGTGTTCACTGCTCTGTGACCCTGTGCTACGGGTTGAAGTACATTGCCGATTCTTGTAGTCTGGTTGGAGTCGAGAATACAACTCACAACTCCCCCATCATCGTATTATCCTCATTAGATAGCCGATTTGAGCTCCGGCCCCCTCCCCTCTCCTTCCGTCAAGCGTATGCCTTCGATGCTCTGTGGTGATGTCCTCTTGATTATGACAAAATGCAATGAGTCCTGCCTTTTGCTACTCACTTTTTTTCTGAAGAATGTCTTCAATGCTGGTCAGATATTCATGTTCGGTGTCATGCCGAATACTCAAAAGCTGTTCGATTTCATATCGATAACTTTGGTTGCGATCGTCAAGGGGTTACCAGTACCCTTCATATTTTCCTCATTCGAGGTGTCTCCATTTTCTTCGGGGATCTGGATCACTTTCAAAATACTTCTACGCAGACTGTCGTAACAAGCCTGGTGCACTTACCAGTAGTTTGTACGTTCTTGTGTGAATGTCCTCTCCTGGACCTGGACCTCGGCCGGCAAGGTTCCGCCTTGACTCCTGAACAGACAGAGCAGATGGCGCGTGGACCAAAAGCCTTCCGCCATTTGTACGATACCATCGGATCCAGATTTGGGCTCGACGAGAAGGGTCGAGAAGCCTTCAAGCAACTAGTTCAGAGACAAGCAAAGGTTGAAAGAGGGGGCGGCGGAATCTACCAATCTCGACACTAATGCCGGCGGAGACGGAAATGCTGTCCAAACCGACAACAACACTGAGATTGACGCAAAATTCCAACCAGCCACCTAACAACACCCCCTCAAAAGCGAAGCCACGGACCAAACATGTCACTTAGGGATCTCAACTACACGGGAACTTCGTGCTGGTCTGATTGAAGGAGAAACGGGGTGCCAAAGGAGGACATCGCAAATGTACTGAAAGACTCAAGCACGAAAAGAGGCAAGGTTTTGTGAAAAGGCCGAGAAAAGCTTTCAAAGGTATCTGCGAGGTGAGATCAGGACGAAGCGAGTATTCAAGTTTGCAAACACAATGATGCCCCAAGTGGCACAATTATTCGATCCGTGTGGGTCGCAAAGACTCTGAATATGTCAGTTTTGATCTTTCGGGCATGATTTTATATCCCTGATGCCAATATACGGAACTTGATTTTCTCATGGGCTCAATGTCACAGTACCTTGCCCACTCACTCCCCCCGTCCACTGCACCTTTGTCTCACAGCTTGTCCGATCGCTTGCTCTTAGGACCCACGCCCGTCGGATCGTCCCCGGTGGTCCAAGTGATGGTAAGCTTGACCTGCTGGATCTTCCACTGCCCACTGCCGTCCTTTTCCAAGATCCAATTGTAGAACCCACCCTCGTCGAAATGGTCATGGTAGACGTCCTTTCGTTTCATCCACTGCGCGATGCAATTCGTTCGGACATGCGCCTGTTTCCGCCCGGGACCGAAGGCGATGTCAAAGTTGCTGCTGAGGAGTTGACACCGCTCGAAATAAGACACACCGCCAAAAGCCCAAGCACCCTTTCCCTCGCGACCCTTGTGCTGCCCGAAGGGGTAGATGGCGACACCGTCCTCGGCGAAAAGGTTCTCCCATTCTTGTCGCTTGTTCAGGTCGAAGCACGCCTCATCGTGGAGCGCTGTGTAGTGGTTGAGCAGCCATTGGATGGCCTGGATGTCTTGGACGTGGGACAACGATTGCTGAAGAGACCGGATCGTGTCTCTGAGAGAGGAGAGCTCTGCGGCGAAGTCTCCAGGCTGGGACATGGTAAATTCGAAGTGATGTTTTGATGGGTATTAACTGGTGGTGCCAGAGGCAAAGGCTGTACAGTCGTGGACGCCTTTCAAGTTCAGCAAGGAAGAGACAACGGCTCACTTGTTATGTTCCCGTAAAGGTTTCGCCTGTGGGGTGAGCTGAACCGATTTCATCTCATCAGGTCCCGGATATAGCACTGTACTTTTAACGTCGCCACAAGTCTTTGAGCGGGTCACTGCCCCACGCATCTAGAGCGTCGCTGAGGTGTTGAGGGTTTGCTGAACTTCGCGAAGTTGACATAGTGTAGGTGGTATCAAACATAATCCAATGGGAACGCGGGGAGCGAAACTGCAACCAATTGGAGTTTGCGGAATGACCAAATCCAGATGGGGCCATCTTGCTGCTGCACCCCAAATTTCTTCGGCATCGACCCAGATTTGCCCCAGGTTTCCAGATTTTTGGAGGCTATCACCGACCTGTTGTGTTCTACTATATATTGGGAGGAAGATGCGGTCAACTTCGCCGGAATGATACCAGATCTCACCTTTTCGATCGTGAACGATACTCGCCGATGTTGTCGCCTTCGAAAAAGTTCTTGGGCCTTCGGGGCACTGCATTGTCATGGGCAATTAGCCTGTGCTCGGCCAGTGCATTCCTACTCTTTGGTAAGTGGTTTAAAGCACTCTCGTGAACCTCTTCAGCTGATTGGAGACAGGCTATGACCAAGGAATTATGGGAAGCATTGTGAGCACACCGTATTTTCTCGAAGCGATAAACATCAAGGTTGGCAGATACTCAGACTCCACACAGTGACGACCGAACTGAACAAGTCACAGGCTGATGACGCCGATACTATCTCGACGGTTGTGTCGATCTACGATATTGGCTGCATGGTTGGCTGTCTTATTGCTGCCGGTTGGGGTTCGGCTCTTGGGCGCAGACGCACGATTGCAATTGGGATGGGCATCATGGTGATTGGTAAGACAGCCCTGAGCGACGTTTAAACAATGCTGAATGCTACAAGGAGCGGTACTGCAAGCCGCCTCGTACAGTGTTGCGCAGATGGTTGTCGGCAGAATTGTCTCGGTAGGTGTGGCCCTCTTACAGTAGTCTTGAGGTTACTGACATGGCTATCCAGGGTATCGGAAACGGGATGAATACTGGCACTGTGCCAACCTGGGTTTCCGAGACAAGCAAGGCAAAGCACAGAGGACAGCTTGTCGCCACACAGTTAAGCATTGCCGCTTTTGGGATTGTCATTGCATACTGGATGAAGTCAGTATCTTCCCACATACACTTGAGAATACACATCTAACGCACTTTCCGCAGCTACGGATTCTTCCATCTCACTGGGCAGATCGTGTGGCGGTTCCCAGTCGGTGAGTGAGATCCTATGCAAATCATACTAAGCTAACAGGTAGTATATAGCGTTCCAGGCTGTCTTTGCCATTGTTACTGTAATTGCGCTCACTTGGCTACCAGAGAGCCCGCGATATCTTTACTCCAAAGGCAGACACGAAGAAGCTGATGAAGTCATGTCGGCCCTCAAAGGTCTACCGCTCGAGGATGAGGTTGTACAGGCGGAGCGTGCAGAAATCCTCGCCGCAATTGCACTGGAGGAACACTTTGGCGAGTACAATTTGAAAACAATCTTCTACGACAAGTCAGGTCAGAAGATACCGATCCGGATAGCATTGGCCTGTATCATCCAAATGATTCAGCAATTGCCCGGCGTCAATATCGTCATCTACTACTCCAGCACCGTGTTTCTTCAGCTTGGAATATCTGCCGAGACTTCGCTGGTACTGGGGGGTGTTGCTTCAATCAGCTTTTGGGTTGGGTCGCTATTTGGAATCGCGTTTATCGAACGAATCGGCCGCAAGAAGCTCTTGATCTCCGGCACCATACCAATGTTGATCGGGTACTGCATCTATCTGCCCATGGTGAAAGATGGCAGAAGTACCCAGCTATGGGTGGCTTTTGGAGCTACATGTCTGATCTGTTTGGCGTTTGGTTGGAGTTGGTTGCCAGTGTAAGTGGAAGAAATGTCTCTTGTTCAGCATATCGACTGATCATCCACGCAGACCCTGGTGCATTGGACCTGAACTGGTTCCAGTCAAGTATCGTCACGTTGGTGGTGCTCTGAACGCCTTCACAAATTGTAAGGAAAACAAAGCACGTTCTGGAATCCTTCTCACACAAGACTGATCATCTACTAGGGACTTTTACATTCATCATCGTCAAGGTTGGACCAATTGGGATAGCGAACATCGGATGGCGGTTGTACATCGTCTTTATCATTTTCACCTTCATTCAATTGCCAATTGGTAAGTGATGACTGCCCACAATAACAATCCAGGTACTAACCAAGTCACAGTCTGGTTCCTATACCCAGAAACGAAAGGATTGACTCTTGAGGAGATCGACACACTCTTCATCAAGGATCGGGCTGTGACGCACACATTGACGGAGAAGGCAGAAGAGGTACACCATCTGGAGGAGAACAACAAGTCTCAGCATTAGGGAGGCAGCAGTCACTACTTGAGTTCAGAAAAACTGGGGTTATTGTGGAAGGATCCAAGCCTGGTCATCATCCAAGGGCTGTGATAATGGTGACTGTACCCAGGTCGCCTCGGATTTCAGCAGTCCATAATAAATAGTCGGCTCAGCAAGACCGAACATCTTGTCTTTTTCCAGATACAGTGTCCAAGTTTTTGTGCGACAGTAGTCAACACTAAAAACTGTCAGCATCGTAAATACCGACAACCTGTTCCATTCGGCCGATGAATGGCTGAAGTTCGCACCTCATGAAGGTCAAATGATTGTAACTTTGGCGTAGGGCTCGGAGATACTTGTTTCCGACCAATTTTGCTGCTGTTCTTACAGCGGCCAGCCTCACGTTAGCAGTCTGACACAATTCTCGTCACGCCGCTTCAACATCTTGGCAGCCTCGGCCTCTTCCCGCCCAACATTGACCTGGACTCATGACTCTCACACGCTCTTCCCCGAAATCAGACTCACTTCAGGAGAACGCGTCGAGCATGGAGCTCTCCAAGCAGACATGAAGCCTGTGAGGAATATTGCGCCAGACAGGAAACGAGATCATCAGACGATTTTCCTTCCAAGCGCTGCGGGAACATCCCCTCAATCAAATCCAAAGCGAACCAAGATTGAACAGGCTTGTTCATATTGTCGCGTTTTACGCCGCAAGGTTGGTGGGACACCGAGAAGCATGCTATGTACTAATATGCCAGGATAGTGCAATGGTCAAAGTCCATGCAGTTCCTGTGTCGAGAAATCAGTTCCGTGCGATTACGGTGGCGATGCTCAACCCCCGGGGAAGATGACCCTGGCTAGGGCACTCAAGTAAGCGGCTCTTCTAGTTGTGCATTGATTCTTCTTGCCAACCTAGACTTCAGACGGATCTCGGAATTAGAGAGCAGACTGCGCGAGTACGAGAATCTGGACCCTGAGAAAGATGGCGGCACAACTTCGTCACCACGCCATATTGGTCAGATCTATGACTACCTCCCAGAGAGCCATCGACCCGACGATGATATGAGCCAGCTTTTACGTGGAGTGAACTTTCTAACTATCTCGACGAGAAACCCAGAATTTTACGGCGGGTCGTCTTCAAACGCCATTATCAGCGCGGTGGAAGCCCCTAGCCATATCTCACATAAGCACGACTCATCTATGAGGCCAGACCTACCGGCGCAGCAATGGATACACAGTTCGCCGAACCTTCGTCTTGCCAATGCATCCGGTTCTTCCTTACCTCCCAGGCCTGTCGCTGACGAGTATGTGAATCGATACTTTCAGACTGCCCATCACATCTACCCAATCCTCAATCCAAAAACGTTCGTGGAGAGGTATCGAAATTTCTGGGAGGGACTACCAACGGAAGGAAGAGGCTATGAACTTTGGATAGCGGTTATGTACATGGTACTGGCTCATGGCCACCAATGTAGCATGGTCGATCCAGATACCGCAGTGCGACAGGCCGCGCTTAATTCCAATCACGGTGAAGTCTGCTTCAACCTGGCAAAGGCTGTTCTTACCGATGTCTCCTTCACCTCTGGTGATATGTCAAGCGTCAACAGTTTGTTCCTTGGTGTAAGTAGGCTCAAGCTAGATCCCCTGTTGCTAACTCTTTAGTTTGCGTGGCTGTATAACCAGCAGAGACTCCACGAAGCCTACGCTATGATGGGGGTTGCAACACGAGTTGGCTATGCTATTGGTATGCACAGGGAGCTCATTGTTTTGGGCGGTCCTACTGCAGACGCTAATGGCTGGTGCGCATCGTGGTGGTAAGTTAACAATCTGATTACTTCGATACAAGCTGATTATTCCAGGTGTCTCTTCACCTATGAAACGTAAGTTCCGAGAGCCGTCAATGATTGCCGTGTTTCTGACAATGCCTAGCGAACTCGCGGCTCTTTCTGGTCGACCCTGCGGGATTCAACCCCGAGAAGTTGATGTTAGACCATTTTCCCTGGACTCATCACCGATTGATTTCCAGTACCTCGAACGAATGCGACAGTTCTCATACCTGGCTTGGGATGCATACGAACAGGTCTACTCTTTGGAATACAAACACACCAGTGTCTCAGAACGGACCGAGGCACTCAAAATGGCCGATGCAGCTCTTTGCACGTGGTACGATGAATGGTCTGAGAACTCGATTTGGGTCAAGGAACCTCATGGACTGATACTACGGCTGCGTATGACACTCTGTGGACATATGAACACCGCTAACCCCCCTGCTTTCGTACAGGCTACTTGAACTTGCGCATTCTGCTGTACCGGGCATTTCTCAACCTCGTTGTGCAGAAAAAAGAGGCCGGCAAGGTGATCCCGGAGGACCTGCTCGCAGCGGCTGCTAGGTGCATTGTGATGGCCATATCGTTGATTGAGACCACCACAACCTGTATCAACCCGGGCAGTTCAGGGACTCTTCAGGCAGCTCTTTTGCCATCAGCTGGCTATCTTTGGAACGCGACAATCACACTCTTGCTCTACGTTACCAGCCAGGTAGTCCGTGATACTCTGCCCGAAACCGCACCAGATTACACCACTGTCATCTCAAGCATCCAAACGGCAATTGCTTTCCTGACCGTCCATCAAGATGCCCTAGCATCTGCACCCGAGTCAATCAAGAAAGGACAAACCTTACTCAACAAAGCGATAGCCTCGTTCGACGACGCCCAAAGGAATGGGGATGATCCTGGCTACCAAACCGACATCCGACTACCCCATTTTGAGTCACCTTCGGATCAGATTCTGGATTTTGTACACGGCTTCGACGTCCCGACATTTGACTTTGGCAGACCCTCTTCCGATCACATTTCTGGTACGATTGGAAGCGAAAAGTATGCTACAGGCGACCAGGCGCAAGAACCCGATTTCAATGCCCAGTGGACACAGGAAGTGGACACATTTTTCTTCCAACACCTGGGAGAACAGGGTTAGTCGCATATTGTCACCCTCAAAGTTGTCACCACCTGTCGAGAGTCCTGCATGGGGCGTGGATCTGGTTGTGTACGATGCCCTGAGCATGCTGCCAATGGGAATCCGCGGGATGAAATTCTCCCACTCTTCTCCCCACAGAATTCTGACTATGTTGAGGTCCGCAAATTCCCCGCACTCTAACCATTGAATACTCATATCAGGCTTGTCATTGAAGGACAAAATCGAGACAGACAGCGTAGTTGCTTTCGCTGTAAGATTCGTCGTCTCTCTCACTTGCCGATACTGACCAAGAGCTTAATCATTCGAGTAATCCGCGACCATGCCTAGACCGGCTTTGTTACCCGTTCATCACCCTCTGGCCTTTTCATCACCAACAGACGGACATCAGAACAATTTGAAGACTCCAGCGGAACACTCTTCTTTAGCCAACCCTCAAAGCGCTGATGACAAGGTACATTTCCTGTTCGAACGACAAAGACTCGTATCCCTTCTCGACGAATACGCGTATGTCCTGGATGCATGCATGGTCCACCATGCTGCAGCACAAACTTGGGCAGGGCTCTTCACGGATGATTGTATCGTGACATTCCCATTTGGAACACACCATGGCACTAAAGGTCTTTCTGGTTGGTGCCTTGGTGCAGAAACGAGATTCAGCAGAATGCTAGTGAGTTTACCTACCAAGCTTGACTATCAGCCGTCAAGATCTAACCAGCTTCCAGCACATGTCGTCTAACATGACAATCACATTCGAAAGCGACATAATCGCCCATGGTCGGTCTGCACTGTTTGCCATTTGTGGGGTACATTCGGACAACATCAACAAGAACTTTTCCGAAGGAGGCTACTATTACTGGAGCTTTCGCAAAGTTGGCGAGACCTGGAAAATCTCCTACCTCTTTTTGGACGTGATGTGGGAGAATGGCGACTCTTTGGGCCTCAATGAGCCAGGTGCAGCAACTACAAGGGCGGAGGCTGGTCTTGGAAGTCACCTGTGAAGCGAACGTGGATGTAGCCGCAATGGACATATGAAGCACCCAGATTTTATTGCAATGCTGATAGGCATTGCACTGCGTAATGCCTCTTCCGAGAAATGGAAGAGGCAAGGTTCAACTTCAAGTGTCACTTCATCTTGATGGACACGAGGATATCCATGAGTATTGGCGATGTATTATTTGACAAGTCGTCTTCCGGCCTTAATTCTGACTATCATGGGCTTGGAGTTTTCATCTTCCAAATGAGCGCTCTCCATTTTGATCTGGGGTCGCATCATCGCCATACAACCAGCAATCACCCTACCTCCATGACTTCAGTAGGTATACCTGAATCCCTCCAAACCCTCAATAACGACCCGACCTTGTCTCTGCTTTTTATTTTGGACGTAAAAATAAGTGCTGGTGGTGCAGACCGAGAGAAAGGTCATGCAAGCAGCTGTAATGCAGGTGTAGAGCCCCGGCCTTGCAAAGAGAGTTAGCACAAATGTAGCACGAATGCCTTCAGAAGCATGCCTCACCGATACTGCGGTGCATCTTGACTTCGGAATGTCAAGGAGCCAATGATACCTCCGATACCTCCAGCACCCACAATCGTCGCTGAACAGAAAGCCCGTCGCCACACACCTCGGATGTTGTTGGCCTGGTATGTCAGACTTAACGGAATATTTGAATTCGCTCCTCCGATGATGAGAAAGGCCCCGAAATATCGTACACCACTCTGTTTTGCATATCCCAATACGACGACTCCAATGACCTCAATGACGCAGTTGAAGAGGAGGAAGGGAGTCCGGAGGCCGATTCTATCTGAAATGACACTCTGTATCAGGCCGAGAATCGACGCAAACACATAACACTAGGAAGACACAAGTCAGTCGTTGTCATCGGATACTGTAGATGATGCTCACCGGGGTACTCAAGCATTGAGCCGCCGCCTCAGAGAATCCAAGTCCCTGACGAAGGACAATGGGCAGAAAGTATGCTGCGGCATATGTCACAACAGAAGTAAGGCCAAAATTGGCGGCGAAGAACCAAATCTTCCAGTCAAGCGCATTCTTCAAGTACAGTCCCAATTTGAACGGAGGTGTCTCGACGTCCATGCGGTCTCGATTGATACGGTCAATCACGATCTTGATCTCGTCATCTTTGAGGAACTTCCAAGATTTGTGTGCGTCTTCGGGAAAGTCAACGATGAGGAAGTAAGCTACAATACCAAAAACGACGGTGATGATGCCCTCCATGAGGAAGATCCAGCGCCAGCCAGCGTGACCTCCGACGCCGTCCATCTTTGAAAGCTGGAATAAATGTCAGGATACCAATTGTGAAGAGAAGGGGGCCTTTGAGAAACTCACGCCATATGCAAGGATGCCGCCAAAGCCGGCAATCAACGAGCCCAAAAGATAAAATGCAGCATTTCGTTTGGCAACCTCAGCTAGATAGGGATGGTGAGAAAAGTGAATGACAATCTGTTCAACTCATTGTCTTACCTCTGACATACCAAGTGCTCAACAAATACGCACAGCTCGAGAAAAACCCGGCTTCAAAAATACCCAACAAACAGCGCAAGGCCAGCATCGCATGCCAACTCTTGACAAGGCCGTGACCAACCATCACCAAGCCCCAGGCTGTCACAATGAATCCAAGGAAACGTCTAGCTCGAACCTTTCTGGCAATGGCGGTCATCGGAGGTTGGAATGAGATGTAGAATGGGAAGAAGACCAGGATCAAGAGGGTCTGGTCAAGCACGTATCAGTATCACTTGCTAATGCAGGATCCTAGGCCCAGGGCCGGGCTCACATAGGCATTTCCTTTGAGGTCAAGACCCTTTTCAGGGTCGCCCATGCCAGCGACATAGCTAATGAGGAAATTTAGTGTCCGGTAGCACAACGAGGACGTCGCAATTCGACTCACGCATTCTATACATGTCAGCTGGGTAAAAAATGCAAAAAGGACAGGCTCAGGATGCACTCACAGGTAGATTGACACGATCGATCAGTGATGCCGTGTACAATACACCCAAGACAAGACATATTCGTAGATCAATCTTCTTCTTGATGTCTTTTATCTTTTTAGGGTCGACGGTATCGACCTCTTCATCGAATTCGCTCAATCGATCTTGGTGCTCCGACTTTGCTGCCAGGTCTTTCGCAGAGTCTACATTACCTTGTGCCATTTTGACTGATGGTCGAGATGAGAGTCGAAAAGCGGCAGAGGAGTAGAGAGGCCTAGATAACTCATAAAGCGATCAACACTCATGCGGAGTCCCCAGGTCCATCTTCGGGGGGAAAGAAGACCATGACATTGTGGAACGGGCCGGCTATCTATTCTCGACAATGGGACTTTCTCGTACGATACCTACTTGTAGTCATAACGGTCGTCTGTCTTAAGAGTGGATAGTGATGCTCCAACATGGTCTGATGGCCCCATATACGCTATTTGTATACCCGAGGTTATCTAACACTTGGCAGGTGGAATTTGCCCACGTAACAGTATTCGTTCCTCCCCAAGTCATCGGTCGATTGATGTGTTTCTGCCGACGTTCAACATTATTTCCCCGACTTCGGTTATCTTTTGTGTCCCCCAGTGTTTCTCTCCACACTCTCTAAGACACCGTCAATAAAGAGGGTGAGCATGCAAAAGTCTGACGTTGCCGGAAAGGGGAAGAAGAAGCGTGCTGGGAGAGCCTGCATCTTGTGTAGGGCAAGAAAGGTCCGTTGTGATGTGGTGCTGAATGGTACTCCTTGCACCAATTGCCGTTTGGATTCACTCGACTGTACCATCCCAAAAAACAGGCGTCACAGGTATGTCTCCGATACAGTCGATTTAATCACAGCAAGCCCGGGTAGCTGATCCACCTTCCTCGGAAAGAGTTCCAAAGGCCAGCAAGTCGACGGTCGGCATTGCCCCCCGGCAGTCTCAATCGCTCTCAGAGACCACAGCACAACGAACAGACCATCTCCAATGCAGTCACAATATTGACACGAGAGACGCTCCTGCATATTCTGAAAGAACACAGAAGAGCAATGATGGCCTACGCAACTGGCGTGCAGCACCTTCATTGTGCTCTGCCTCAATCTCCTTGGAAGATCCCTCCCATTTAAGGTTGCCTGCTTTTATTAAAGCTCTGGATGACGGCCTAGACTCGACAGATCTAGACTATTTACGGGCGAAGAAGGCATTATCACTCCCCAGCAAAGAGTTTCGCGATGTCTGCGTCGCGCGTTATCTGGAGTTCGCCCATCCATTACTGCCTCTGCTGGACAAGCGCCAACTTCTGTCCACCTTGCGCGAAGATGAAGTTGGTGGTGATCAGATTAGCCTTACATTGTTCAACGCTGTCATGCTGTCCGGGGTAACATTTGTGGAAGATGAGTGGATTGTCCGAGCAGGTTTCGAGTCAAGGCAAGCTGCGCGCAAGACATTCTTCAGTCGGGCTAAGGTAAGACAATACCCGAGCATTCGCCTTGCAGCAAACTAAAATTCTCTGTCAGGTCCTTTTCAATACCAACGTCGATCTTGATAGGTTCGTGGCTTGTCAAGTGGCCGTTCTGATGAGCACATGGTACCCTGGAAAACACGAGAAAGCAGATGCATGGTTTTGGACAGGCACAGCAGTATCTTTGGCTTATTCAATTCATCTGCACTTGGAACCAGACGAGTCGCACTTCAGCATCGAAGAACAACGCCTTCGCCGAAGGCTTTGGTGGGGTACATTTGCCCGCGATCAAAAGGTTGCATTGGCATTGGGACGGCCGCACAGGTCAACCTACTATAACGTCCGAATGCTTTCATTAGAAGATCTTGACGACAACATCCAGCCCTTTACGACAGTCTATCCTTCAGAGACTCGGAGATACACTGGCGTCGTCGAAAATCCTAAAACACAATCTATTTTGGGCAGGTTGTGTATCGAGCACATGAAATTATGTGTATGCATCGCCTCATTCGTCACTACAATCTTCAAATGCCGTCGAGATATCAAGACCAGGAGCAGGGAGGATGTTCAAGGACATTCACTGCCATCGCCGACGAGCCGACTGAATCGCTGTACACAAGATTTTGCCCTCTGGTATCGCGGACTCGCTGCAGATCTGCACTACGAACGAGACGTCGCACTGGTCAAGGACACCTGCATCAGTCAAGCTCGCTGCTTGGCAGTCCACAAATCAACCGTCCACATTCTGTACCACGTATCTATCAGCGCCTTGTACCGGCTAAAAGCCCTATCTCCAAGCTCGACGTGGCGAGACACTGACCTCCACGGAGAGCTACACAGCGCGTCGCAACGCATCCTCCGCCACACGGCTTGGGAATTGACCCGCACAAATCAGGAGTTATGCGAGTCAGGCTTCATGCCGTATCTATCTACCGGAGCCGTTGGCGGCGTCGTTGCCGCTCTCGTCATTCACCTCTTGGACGTCAAGGCGCCGAACGAAACCGTACGGCGTGCAGCGGTGTACGGCATCCAGCAGTGCAAACAATTCTTGCTGATCCTTAAAAACGCTTACAACACGGCTGTGGATGCACTGGATTACCTTGAAGAAGCCGAGAAGCAAGATGCCAACATTCCTGCTTCCGAAGAACGAGACATGATGGACACCGAAGACGCGGCGTCCCAGCCTTTTCCAGTCGCTCATGCCCATCAGCGGCTGCACAGTCCCTCGTGGGTGCCGACCACGCTGCTAGAGGAGGACTCCTCGTTCGCAATTTTCCAACAAACTCCAACGATTCCAACGATGGAGACGTCTCCATTCAAGGATACAGACGAGATCTTTTGGCAGTCGTTCATGGATGGCGCATCGACTTATGAGTTTCACCAGGGTACAAGTTTACCTCTTTACGATTTAGGCTTTTCGTCCAACGACATAGGCAATTTTGAAATGCCCAGTATGCTTTCATGATCGAAGATGAAAAGACAAAAGGTTTGACACGATCTGTATGCAGGATACGAGGCAGGAGGTTTACGCATTGATATTCGACACAAAGGATGCCATTATGGTATGACGGTTTTCGCAGGACGCTGAGCCTCTAAGTTATAGGTGTCTGTTTTGGAAGCTACAGTTGGAAGACACAGCCCATGACATCGCCAAACTCATTCGCACTCATCTTCTCCCCGGCTGTTCGACGGTTGACTGCGCCCAGTGCCTTGAATGTTTCCGACCACGAAACTCGGACTGCATCCCCGTCATCCCATCCGTCCGATGTGGCACCATCGACAGGCAGCATAGTCTGATCATCTTTCGGAGAGAGGGAATGAAAGTGCTCCATGTGCGAATCCTCCGACGGCAGGGGTCTTTCTATCTGGGGTGGTGTCAAGGCGCTGACGATTCTTGGTAGACTGTGAGAGGATATTGGTGTTGCGGACTTGTATCCAAGATTAACGTCTACTCGTCCCTGGGATGAGTTAGAGTTCTGTTTTTCTCCCCCAGATGCCGACGAGGCCAAGATTGTCCCGAACCCAGGTCTCCCGTGTGGAGAGTCCACCAAGCCCGTAACGTCGGCGGAGGGATGTTCCATGCATAGAGAGTTGTTGCCTTCTGAATAGTAAGGGGATTCTGATATCATGATGTCTGGGTGGTAATGGTGGACGACATGTTGATCGAGCATTGCTTCGTTGGAGTTGAGACTGGCTCCACCTTGATGGTTGCATACATTGGGTGCAATATCCGGAAAGGCGGCAGACACATCAAATGTGCATGGAGTGTGAATGTTAGGGCAATCTCGTATGGGGCTGACCCCTGTCGCATCGCGAGGATTTCTCTGAGCTTGCAGAGACCTTGCCAATCTCTCAGCCGGGGCGTTGATATCGGCCATGCTAGAGAAGAATCTTTGTAAAACGTCCAGTTGACTAGAAGCTAATTTATGCATACTTGGGTCCTCGATATGTGGTATGCTGGTCAAGAGAGAGCTCGCAGCAAGTGCGGCTTGCTGGACTGTGGGTGGCGGAATGGCGCCGAGTTCGAATCGTTCCATCATCTCGGAGAGTAGGTTACAAATTTGTATCGCACTATTCAATACGAGGTTGGAGATTGAAGCAAACAGCTTATGGCGAGCCAGGACACTATCTGTGTCGTAGACTGGGGATCGCAATGACTTTGGAGAGTTGACTGGGCGGAAAAGAAGAATATTCAGGGAATGGTACTGCTGGCTGTAGGAGACATTCACAGTAAGCTGCTTGGCACAAATCAAGTCTGTCATGCTTCACGGGTGCTCAAGAATACAGGATGCATTTGGGACTCACTGGAGAAGGAAAAGGCTTGGAGTGGCCGAATGTCTGCCTGGTGCTGCTTTGTCGAGCTTCAAATGGGTCGGTAAGTTGGCATACCAGTATTTAAGCCGGCCGTGCAGATGTGTCAGCAGAGGAAAGGCCATTCCTTTGTCTTGTAAGATGACATTGTTACCCGAATGCCGCTTCCGATGGTTCGACACCATCGATTCAGGGATGGCGTGGTTTTGAGCTACGTCGGCAATGCCCATAAGATCTAGATGGGCGTTGTAAACTTGTGAATTGAGGTCATTAGGCTTGGATGTAAAAGTAGACGAGCGCAGGTGTTTAGTTGCAGGAAGATGGACGGTATGACAACCGCTACCGGAAGCGTGAAAGTCGAGACCCGGGCCATGATCAAACACGGTCCAGATGCTGGCAACGACAGTGGGTGAGTCTCCATAAAGCATGTATTAGTCGATCAAGAGGAGACGTACCTGTGGATAAATCTTACAGCTCGCAAGGTCATTCGCTGAATAACCAGCTCATCGTCGGAAATGTGCAGGTCGAGTAGGGTTTGTGTGCTTTGAAGCTCTTCAATCTTTTGCAACGCCAAGTCTTGAGTTTGGACGTGTCAGCTCAGCCATGAGACGGAATTACAACAGGCCAGGGAGACACACCTAGATAAAGTCTCGCCGAATGATCCCTTCCAGACTCCAGCTCGAGCTGGGCCAAGATAGCGGTAGCCTGAACCTGGCATACACTGCTCCATTGTTGTTGTTGACCAACCACGGTAGGCAGAGAATCAATCGTATCTCGGAGTTGTCTGTGCAAGGATGACTCCCAGCCGCCAGGAAGCAAAAGACGAGCAATGTCCGGTCCGCGTGTATGATGGTGATCTGCACGACTGACACCCGTGGCCAAAATTGCGAGATGTAACTCGGGAGAGCAAAAGGGGCCGCCGATCACACCACACCCAGCATCTGAATGCGACTTGGAGTGGGTCAAAGTAGGAGTCTCGAGACTGGCCAGGAAGGCCTCCTTGTGCACAAGTGGAATGACTGCGTTGAATCGGTCCCAGAATTGATCGAGCAGGTGGCTTTGGAGAGTAGGGTCGAGCTGTGCGATCATCGCGACGCAGCGCTCCGAAGAACGAGTCGCTGCATCGGAGCACGACGCCCGATACAAGTCGAAGTCGTGACTTGGCGGTAGCATTGTTGTGTTTGTTCGTTGCTCTTGTCCGATCTTTTCGCCTTCGCCAGAGAGGTCTTCATTCAGCAGGCGTAGGAGGGTGTCGGTGTGGTTTCCGGGGCTGCTGTTGTCCCCGTCATCGTTGCAAACGAACATGCTCGGAGAGAAAGAGTGTCTGCCGCAGAAAAGACGCCATTAGTTCCGTAGAATGTTTTTGCCGCGGCGAGGATGATATGGCTCGACTCGATGCTTACCTTGATCTCCTCATGCTGGTGCGAACGGCTCGTTGATGGTTGTAAGAGCGGCGGCGATGGGTAATCTACAGAGCCAAAAAGAAGGATCAGAACTGGCTTGAGAGTCATGCACCTGAACCGCATGGAGTAAGGCCGTCTATGAAGCTATCTGTAATGTGACATGTCGGTTTACGTGCAAACACACGTACCTTTGATTGTGCGAATCGTTGACCTACTGCGCATTCTTCGGCCCTTTGGGTCTCGATCCTCATCTCTCCCGCCATATGTCGAGGAAGGCCATCAGTCGCGTAAGAGATACAGTAGGTTGTGTATGTAAGAGTGTGTGCACACGTCTGTGTTTGGTCGTCAAAATTGTGGTGTCGCCGGACAGTACCGGAAGACCTGCATCTAGACTAGTAGAAAGTATCTAATGGAGAAAGATCTTCTACCGCCGTATACGACATGTCTCTGCCTCAGACCGGCATTGAATTGATGGCCTGCGACATTTCACTCAACATGTGAATGAGCGAGGGGCATTCTTCCCGACACGAGGCAAACGAGCCATCCCCACCGAGGTCTCCGCAGAAGTGGAGGTTGGGACCTATTTCATTACAAACTGCAGATCTCATCGGCCCCCATACACAAGGCTTGGGAGCATCAGTAGCCGATGATCAAGAAGCCCGAACCTCGGTCGACGCCCACGTTTGGCTAAGAGTGTCTGTCACGCCCAGAACCCTTCGACCTCAGTTGACATGCAAATCCACCCTCTGACTCGACAAAGTCTTATGGCAACAACAACGAGGCTCCCAATCTTGGTGGTTGAGCATAGTCCAGTATCTGCTGATTATAGCTCATGTACCGAGCACGTGGGATGATTTCATTTATCTGTGTCTGCGACAGTGTTCTAGTGCCAAGTATATCTCATTTTTTCATCCTCTTTTTCATTGTTTGGAGGCATTCACTCATGCATCTTTCTATGCCCTTTATCATTGACATTTAATTCCCTACCACAATATCTAGTCTAAAGTCGGGCTTTTCCAGACAAAAGAGTCTGAACTGCCTCGGTCGTCAACGGAACGTATCCCGAACCCTCCTTTTCGATCCAGTAGATTCTGTCCATACTTCCTGTCGGTAATGTGAATCCTGAATAAATACCACAGATCAGCACCATATCGTATAGGAGACGGGTCGCACCTTCACTCACCTTCTGATCGAAGCCCAGTTTTGAGCTTTTTCATGATCAAGGACACTCGATCAGCGCCAGTGTCGTTATTGCCGACATTTGTTGTCATGGTACGATCTGTGGCCAGCACACGCAAAAACCGGGGAACGGCATATCCAGGCAAGGCACCAAGTGCATTGGTCGTGGCCCATCTCTCGAGCTCCCTGACCGTGTCCAATTCCTGAGCATCCGGTCCAGACTCCGAATTGGCTTCGCTACCGTTGAAAGTGACAGCAGCACATCCCAACTGTCCATCGTACCCGTATCTGTTCATCGGGATCGCGTAGACATTGACAGATGCGATATTTGGGTGTCTGCTCAGGCAGCCCTCGACTTCGGTCGTAGAGATGTTGTGTCCCTTTGCACGGTACGTGTCGCCTAGGCGATCGTGGAATGATACGAATCCTTCGGAGTCCTATTGCGTAAGAATATGTCAGTCTCGTTGCAAATCTGGTTGGCTGGCATGACCTATGTAGCGTAACTTACCATCATCATTGCATCTCCGAGTCTGAAAAACTCATCACCCTTTTCAAAGACATTTCGAAGCACTTTTTTCTGCGTAGCATCGTTTCCACCTTCACCCACATAGTCGTGTCGCCGCTGCACTGGCGGGGTAACCCGGCATATTGACTCTCCAATCTCGCCAGGTCGTGTTTCAAGACAAAATCCCGTCTTTGGGTCTCGCAGAAGCTCACCAGTTTCCAGGTCTGTTCGGACAATATAGAAAGAATTCTGGAAGAATTTGCGCATCAGAGGACCCCAATGTGCAACCTTGCCGACGCCACGATCATTCTTGTTCGAGACGAGGATTGAAGTCGTCGCTTCACTTGCCGAGTAGTACTCCACGATCCAGGGGATACCGTATCTTTCGCGCACAGCTCGCCACACAGTAGGCGCCAGACCAAGACCAAAAGCGAGATCTACCTCGTGGTCTTTCTCATTCGGAAAACGAGGATCAGGTGGAGATTGGACAAGGTATCGCAACATTTCACCAATGTACAGAATTGCATTCGATCTTGATTGACGAACGTCTGACCAGAATTCTCGACGGGAGAATTTACGTGCCAGAATGACCGTGCCTGATGTTGAAAACGTTGCTGGTAATGCAGCAAATCTGTAAGTTCAATGTCAGTGTCAACGATTCATAACTCGGAATGCAACTTACGTGGCTGTGCCATGGAACATTGGCAGGCAGATGTAGAACCTTCGACGCTTTTTCTGCATTCCAGGGTACCGGTTCGAACATGAACCGGACAGACTGTAGCCGGCAGGCCAGATCAAGGCTTTCGGCATGCCTGTCGTGCCTGACGTGAACAGATATTGAGATGCCTCGGTGTGCAATACTTTTGGTCGCGATGATTTGGGAAAGTCTCCCATTTCTGGCGTCGCTGGAGGCAGTCTTGAGTGGTCGAGGAGAGTTGTACGCCTCCGAGAAGACCACTGGCCTGTCGGTGGATACGTTTGATGGTCATACAAGATGATCTGGCCGACTTGAGGACATGCGGCATCACCATCAAAGTCGATAGCTCCATCGTTCAGATCGAAGGTCTGCCCGACTATATTCGACAACTCGTAACTGGTGAAGAGCATTTCGGCATTGCTCACTTTGAGGCAGTGCTTGATGTGGTTGCCTGTGATGGATGTGTTGATTGGGGCTGGGATCGCACCGAGCTTGTACAACGCCCACCATAGTATCATAAACTCGGGCGAGTTGTTGATGAACAGACCTGCAACCATCCTGTTCTTCACCCCGAGATCCGTGAGTGCTTGTGCACACCGACCAATCTCCAGTCTGAGGCGGCCATATGTCCAACTTCGTCCTTCGAATACAAATGCCTCCAAGTCATCATTCAGGCCGTAAGTGCAGTGTAGGACGTGGTAGAAAGACCAATCGTCCTCCCCGTGAATGTCGTACAGGTGCTGCGTATATTTTTGTATACTTCTCTGTCCTCGAATTTGAGCAATATCCTCGCCGATCGAGTATTTGCCATCCAAGTACATGCCTAGGCCTGTAGCGGCGGCGGCCACGGCGGCAACAGCAGCAGTAGAGACTGGCATGGTCAACAGCTTCCGTTTGGGGTGCTGATTGTAGGGACTGTCGAGGCACGAGTGCTATACAAACACTGGAATCGGGCCAAAAGTAGTCAAATTTGTTGCTTGGGCGCAAGGCTCGCCCCGAACATGCCATCTCCTCGTACAGCCGAATCGACTCAGATGTGATGTGCGGGGAGAAGGTGTTAGGTAGCCGGGGCTATGCAAAGCCAGGGTCCACATTGTAGTTGGGGAATTGTTGCCAACTGCCAGTGTCTGTATGTTGCCTCGGTTCGTCTCTGAAACAATGAACTGTGCAGTTACGGTGACATGGACGTTGGCATACGTTCGTGCTGTCGGCCTTGCCACTAGATCGATGAGTCTGCGACATCCGTACATTACTCAATAACCCAGTGAGACAGTTGAGCCATTCTGCACACTATCAGTCCTTCGTGTGCACTTCACCACACTCAGCGCCATCAAACGCACCTGCGGTGGTGTGCTCCGCGTCATGGGGCCACCTGCCAGCATCAAGAGGCTCCTCATCGCCAACAGGTCAGTTCGGCGCCCCAATTTTTGAAGGAAGGATTGATGCTGAGATTGAAACAGAGGAGAGATTGCTATCCGAATCATTTCGACCGCACGGGAGCTTGGAATTCACACCGTCGCTATATACACCGCAGACGATGAGAACCATGCTATCCACGCGGACGAGGCTGTGCGCCTGAAATCGCCCGAGGACTTTATGAACAGCAAGCTACTGACACAGTTATGTCTGGATTATCGGATTGACTCAGTGCATCCCGGATACGGCTTTCTCTCAGAAAATGCCGACTTTGCCGAATCTCTCGAGGCAGTCGGGATCCGTTTCGTTGGACCAACGCCGGAAATCCTACGACGAACCGGTGATAAGACTACCGCTCGTGCCCTGGCCGAGTCGTGCGCAGTGCCGGTTCTGCCAGCATTGAAGGAGCCCATTTCGAGCTTGAATGATGCGTCCAGCTTCATAAGTGCGAACGGTTACCCTTTGATGATCAAGGCCGTCGATGGCGGGGGAGGTAGAGGTATCAGATTGGTGTCTAGTGCCGAGCATCTCAAGGATGGGTTTGATCGAGCCCGAGGAGAGTCTCCTGGTGGCAAAGTGTTCATCGAAAAGGCTGCCATCGATGGGTACCGACACGTTGAAGTCCAAATTATCGGAGACGGACAAGGTCAAGTAGCACACTTGTGGGAGCGCGAGTGCAGCATACAGAGAAGGTCAGTGTTCCTGAATTATAACTTCTAACGGTGCCTATATTGATGCTCGATTCAGGTTTCAAAAAATGGTCGAACTTGCTCCGTCTACGATTCAAAATCGCGATCTGATAGCTAGAGTCATCGAAAGCGCAATCAACTTGGCAAAATCGGTATGTTGAAAGAATAGTTCACTATGGAAGCTCCCTTCACTGGCTAATTGCGATGCAGATACAATATAGATCACTGGGCACGTTCGAATACCTTGTACATGAGACCAGAGCAGAGTTTTACTTTCTGGAAGTCAATCCGCGACTACAGGTTGAGCATACTGTGACGGAAGAGATCACAGATGTCGACCTGGTTCGAGACCAGCTGCTGATCGCTCAAGGCGCGACCATCGACAGCTTGGGATTACCATCGCGTGAAGTGTCGGCATCACCACAAAAAGCACCGAAAAAGGCAGCTATACAACTACGTGTGACAGCTGAGGATCCATTGCAAGGATTCACATTGAGCATGGGCCGCATATCTCAATTTCATAGTCCAGGAGGCAGGAATGTCAGGATGGAAACCCACCTCAGTGGTAGTCGCAGTACTATCGTCGGATCATCCTTCGACTCGTTGCTTGCTAAAGTCATTGTGAGCGCCTCCGCGCTCGAAGAAGCTAGAGCCAAAGGTCTCAGAGCACTATGTGACCTAGAAATTCAAGGTGTGAAGACGAACCTGCCAGTTCTTTTGGGCACTCTTGCCTCCAGCGACTTCCAGCAGTCTGCGTGCTCGACTACGTGGCTGGAGAGAAACCTAGCCGACATCATCAAACTTGGTCAGGACATGAAACTTTCAACCCGAGCTGCACGACAGGCATCCTTCACATCAGCTTCCGGGAGTGAACCTGGATCGACCACGGCAGCCGGTATTGGCAACCCCTCAAATATGCTCTTCAAGAAGGGCGACGCTTTCCGAGTGAGATTGAGCGAATTGCTCGACGATGGACAGATAGGTCCTGAACGAGAGCACGTCCTCGTCCTAGACCGCATCATGAACAATGACTTTCCCAATCTCATCACCGGCGACGTGTCGCTAGCGTCAGAGTCGTCCGAAGCGACGAAAAAATTCAAAGCCAGCCTGGCCATCTCAACTACAGGACTCAATCTAGCATCATCTCATCACAAGAGAGGCGACCCGTCAAATCCAAATCACATCATTCTACCTTTCCCCGGTACTGTGGTCGAACATCTCGTTGAGGCTGGTGACGAAGTGCAAGAAGGCGAGGTTCTCATGGTGGTTAGGCAAATGAAGATGGAGTTGGAGGTTCGAGCACCGGCTGCCGGCGTGGTCAAGTGGGCATGCGAGATTGAAGAGGGTGAGAATGCTGGTGAGGGCATGTTGATCTGTGAATTGGAGCCGTTCAAGGAGAAAACTTCAACGAGAGACGGGCTCGTTGCGAAGTTGTAGAACGGTTGTCAAGTCATGAAGTCTAGTGCTTGATGTGCGCCCATAATTTCCTGTTTGATAGAATGGCTATATAGTCATCACGAAGAGGAATGCTAGATCCAATTGATGCGCTTCTAGATTCATACATCATTCCAACTGTCACGTTGTGGAGCCCTCTAGTATAATGCATAACTCAGATGGCTCTTTGACCTAAGAATGACAACATCGAGTCGCTAAGCGAACGAAGGATGAATTCGACCAGCGGCCCTATCCAGCAACCGCTGTGGCAGCACATCGTCATATCTGGCAGCCATATTAGAAGGATGTCGGAAGCGATGGAATGCTCAGAACTCACATTTGTATAGCCCACTCAGCAACGACACTCCTCGTTTGTGCAGGGTCAATGATCTCTTCGACACCAAAGGCGTTGGCGGTGCGGATGGGATTCATGAGTCGACGATATTCGTTCTCTAGTTGATCGTAGAGCTCTTTTTTCTTGCCTGCTTCTTCCGCTTGTTTCAACTCCCAACGATGCCCGACCTCGATACCACCATCGAGTGGCAAACTTCCCCATTCACCACTGGGCCAGGCCACACGTCCCATAGGATCACGACATGCGACCATGATGCCACCAGCGACACCATAAACCCGACGGGTCAAGACACTAAAGATTGGGATGGTTGTCGAGATGTATGCCTTGCCGAGTTCAACGCCCCATCGCATGGTAGCTGGGGTGTCTTAGTCAGTCACGAAGAGTGTGTGGTCTCCTTTAGTCTTACGCACCTTGTTTCTCGGCCACTGTTCCAATGGCGTACCCTGGGACATCCACAAACTGGACGATGGGAAGATTCATCACATCACATAGCTTCAAATGTCGTGTAATCTTTTGAGAACCACCAGCGTCGAGGGCGCCAGCATTCACTTCGCAATTGAGTGATATGACTCCGACCGGGCGCCCGCCGAGCCTCGCCAGCCCAACAATCGCAGTCCTTCCCCAGAGAGCTCCAATCTCGAACCACGAATCAATGTCAAAGACTGTCTTGATAATGGCGCGGGCATCATACATGCGTTCTTTCTTTCGAGGGATGGCCGTCCTTAGCTCTTCACTGACTCTGGTGATGGGATCTGCCGTGGGGATGACGGGAGGCAACTTGGAATGACCACTATTTGGCAAGTACGAAAGAACCTTCCTGATCTGCTCGAAACACTCGGCCTCGTTTGCTGCTAGATTGTCGATCGTTCCGTTTAGACAGTGGATGCCCGGACCTCCCAATTCGCGCAAGGTAAGACCTTCTTCGAATGTTGCTCCTTCAACCACTTGTGGTCCGGCGTTGAACAAGCTTCCAATATCGCCTGCCATGACCGAGAAATGGGAGATGACGGCTCGTGCGGCACCAATTCCAATCTGGGGACAATGTCAGCGCCGGTAATCGTGCACAAAAGCCCCCCGCGGCATCACACTCCTCGACCGAAGGAACTGGAAACGCACCGCAGGACCTAGCACGGCCGCCAAGTTGGGAATGCCCATATTGAGACCCTTGACGGCATGTATGAAGCCGGGCACACCTGGAACATAGGACCATCCATGGGTCTTGATCGTGCTCACGGAACCGCCGCCAGAAGATCCATCAGTCAATTTAATAATTGGCATGTTCATAGAAACTGCCAGTTTTTCCGAATACACCTGGAGAAGGGAGGCGGTGTCAATACGAACAAATCACTACCATCTCTGCCGAGCGAGAGACTCACAGTCTTGTCAGAAATGGCTCCATCGGCATGTCCAGCTCGAATCGTGTAGTCATCGGCCGTGATGATGACTTTTCTGCCTCCCAATAGGCCAAATCCTAGTAAACGGTATAAGGAACCACAGCTATCGCAGATTTCTGGACGCTCTCACCTTGGAGGTTATTTGTCGGCTGGAATGACACCGGCTCTTCGTCTCGTGGACCAGTCTGCTTCCATTCCACCCGGCCACTCGCGCTGCCTAATTCTCTGAAGCTGCCATTGTCGACGAGCAAGTCCAGGCGTTCTCTCACCCACAACTTGCCATCTCGTTTCTGTCGGACATATCCCCGATTGGAAAGGTCGGGCGTATGTGCGATTTGACTGAGCCTCTGCAAGTTTGAAAGAACATCCGAGTAATCTGCTGGCGGGCCTGCGGGTCGGGGCCCTCTTGAGCGACGACCTCGTTTGGACGAAGATGGAAGTGCCTCCCCCTCCCCTTGTGCTCCCGCGACGTGCCCGGCGACTTGTGAAAGACGCTCTGCCGGTGGTGATGCGGCTGAGGCGGACCCGGACGCGGAGCGGCTTTTGGGACTCATTTCTGGTTTGATGGAATCACGCAGTACTCCCCTCCCGCCTTTGATGGAAAGACTCAATTATCAAGTAGCACACAGTATCACGGTCATACGAATTCGAGTGTGGGTAGCCTCAAATGCAAAAGAACGATTGCTCCCATGTGGTCAGCTAATTCGATGGCAAACCCCCAGACCGCCGTTCCCTACGGGTAGATAACCTCGGTCCATTTGTGAGTCTGGAGTTTTAACCGGGGGAGACAACTGTTTGACCCCCACATGCGGTGATCCCCAGCCCGATCTCACAACCCTGACCCGACGAGTACAAATTACGTGCCCAAAGATAGGTGATACATCGCGCGGCGCTATTTCAACTCCGTAGATACCCAGGTATATACTCCGTAATACAACAAAAGATGAAATTCCCAACTCGTTTCATCCATTATGCATGTATAGATTCTGCAGGTACCACACCATTTCTCGGAATAGATTTGCCAGACAAAAGCGCCGGGATGTCATCCCACTCACACCTACACAAAATCTTGCCAAAAGAATACCCTCGGCGATCGAGTTCTTCAAAAACTTCCTCGCACCTTTCAACCTCTTCTCTTTCACCGGCGCTCGTGAATACGTGCATTGCGGAGCGCAGGGCGAAAAACACCTTTTGAGGTCCGAGGATGTGCATTTCTTCCGAGAGTAGATACTCCATTGATTGAGCGATCTTTTTCGCTTGGGCCAATACTTGTCCCTGGGTGAATTTATCGGTCATGGGCGCCATGACCAAGCCAAAAGTCTGGCTAGCGTCACCACCCAGAGATGACAAGGTGACTGTGAGCATGCTACTGTAGAGCAGGAGGAGAGTAGTCCAGTAGGAAAGGTGAAGATGTGCGATTTCGAAATTTTGAAAGTGCAGAGAGTTGGGAAAGGCGGATATAAATCGGGAGAGGAAATCGGCCGACGAAGGTCGCTCGTAGTAGAGCGGTCCGGGTTGTCTAATGGTGAGGTCCTGATACCAGTTCTCGAGCTGACAGTGTAATTCTCGTCCCTCCTGCATGATCTCTTCCCTCTGTGTGGGGGCAGTCTCGGACGCGGTGAGTGCGACCGTGGTGTTGAGCTGCCCCGCTCTCTCGATTAGATTTGCAATTTGAGCCATCGCATCTTGCAGTCGGTCGAGGTCAGACTTTGGGTGCATCTTCCACGGCACTGTCAGCCAGCCCTGTTGTGCAAGATATGTCGATTTTCGAGTGGCCAAGGCGTAGGTGATCTAAAGTCGGGGTCAGCTACTGTCCACGTACATGCAGGACAATGCGCTCGCTCACACTAGTAGATCTGAACCCCAGGAATAGACGATGACTTAGTCCATGGACATGCGACTCTGGCCCTCGAAGCTGGATCAACCTTCCCATTCCTTCTACATGGCTGGCCCATCCGCCGAAATTGTCTCCGGAAACTTCTAGGAGCTGGTCAATCGGTCAGCATCAGCCTCGGGAGTCGTTCATGCTCCACGAGAGGAGACTTGCCTCAAAAGTGGACAATGCCATACAGCTGGCAAGAGTCTGCTCTTCGAAAAGTAGATTGTGGTGTGAAAGAATGTCTTGTAGTCGGTGCAAGGCTTTGCCATAATTCGCCGTCCCTTCCCGCCGGAGCCTTTCGTCCCCGTGTTTGCGACCCAAACAAGTCAGACTCAGGGCCAGAATCGCGAGATCAAGAGATGCGTTATTTGCGCTTGATGGATTGATGGCTTGGAGCCAGGAAAGTTGCGCTTTGTTTCCATTCCGAAACTCGGGTTCTTCCCTGGGAATGTAGTGTTCGAGAAATTTACCAAACAAGTCTGAAAGGCTGAGCGGCGCGAGACTTGTACGCTGAACTATCTGATTGTTGAGAGATGCAGTGTCGTCTGAATCGGGGGTACTGCGAGGCGTGAGACTGTTGACGGTGCGCAAATCAGTGAGCGAGGTCAAGGGTTGAGTACGAGTCAACAAGGTCTCCCGATCCAATGCGCTCAAATTCTTGAAATGTCGTTCACGTTGATAACCTCCGCAGACCCGATTACTCTTTATACATCGAGCGCAGGACGGTTTGGATCCATCACACTACCACCGAGTTAGTCCCTCTTTCTACCAGGATACATCTCCACCACAAGCCAGATATCAATACGTACATGGATCTTTCGTTTTCGGCAGGTATTGCAACCTTTAGATTTTCCAGCCACGCCTACCATCAGCGTCACAGATGAAAAGCGCAATGAAGACAGGACCTGATTGTTGTTTCCATAAACGTTGATCAATTTTTTCGGAAGACTTTGCGATGCTGACGGATCATCAAAAATGCACGGCCCTCACCGGATTTTAGGGCTTTCATGCACAAATCAGCCAAGGAAACTAGTCGTCAATGCTGATGCGGCTCAGTGACCAAAGTGGACCTCGGCGTAGTAGATTTGGGCTGTTGACATTCAATCAAAAGGGGCCAGAAGGAGGAGAGATTATTTCATTATTCCTGCTGCCTGCGGTGACGTGTTTTGTTGCGACTTAGTTGCTAGAGAGGAATCTTCCAAGACAGTCGATACAGATCTTCTAGCCTTTGGCCGGAGAGACCACCCCTATTGCATGGTCTTCCTGCTATGATTTTTTAAATTCCAGGGAAATTAATGTTCGATAGACTAGAGCGTGTCTTCGGTTTTGACAACTTGCGCTACACCTGTCGACTTTATCACCTTGGATCGCCAACCACCGTCCTCATAAATATGTAAGATACGAAAGTACTTCAATTATGGTTATTTATTCTACTTTACCCAAGGTCCATGCTCCAAAACTCCTTCTAAATGCTCCTTGTCCTGTTACCAAGTATTGTCAATCGCTCCAGTCCTTGCCTATTTCCATCGCTCTCTGTCTGCTCTGTGCCCACTCTTTTACAGAAACAAGTACAAAACACCACGCCATCAGAACTGCCGTTACGCCCATGGTGACAGTAGCCACTACCATTGCATTCAGATTGTTTGCAATCATCGATTCGACTGTATCTCTGTTCTGTGGTCTTCGTCAGTATAAGTTGCCGTCATGAGACTTGCCAATGATCCCTTACGCTGGCCATAAGCATGAAACCTCCCGACATCAGACAGAATGCCGTGATAAGCTCGGATGGTGGCCGAGATGGTGAAGTAGACCGTGCCGGTGCAATGTATAGCAGCAGGTATGTAACACCTCTCATGGCCGCTGCTGCCGTGAGGAAATTACCAAACTGTAAACTTTTAGTTACAATAACCTTGAGGAGCACAGGCAAGTCAGAAATTACCCATTTATGCATCATTGTAGATGTCACCGTGTCTTGATGGTGGCCACCGAGAATTGTGCCCAGCAGAAATATGATCATCGCAGGTACAGGGTTTGTCGAGTACCCAGGAACTAACGTCTGCTTCTCCTCCAGGGTGATGGTGCTGTCCGATGGTTGTGCTTTTCGAGATTCCCTAGAAGCCCGAGACTCGGCCATCAAACCGCACTATACTACAGTCAGTATCTACCGCAGCAACCGAAAGTCTGGTAGACGCACCAGACCACCGCCAATGAACAACAGTGATATGGCGACATGTTCGAGATCCTGTGCTGTCCATGCTTCTCCCCAACCAGAGAGATGTTCTAGAAACACATTGGTGATTCCGTAGATAAAAATGAGCAAACATTCAAGCCCTTCCATGGAGATGGAGCGACTCCTTTCGCGAGATGGAGAATTTGTCGTGGCCTTGAGATTCCAAGCCCATCCACGTCCAGCAAAGCAGCCGATGCAACGGAGCGTGGTTATGATACCAAAGAAGAAGAAAACGCCGCCTTTGATGAAATGCGCTAAACCATTGAAGATCTGTTTTTCATGCTAGACTTTTGTCAGCGGTGTATTCAGGTGCAGTAGACGGGAGCTACTCACAAATATTCCAGCCATAGTGACTATTCCAGTGCAGATGGAAACAAATGCGAGTACGATCATTGCCATGAGCAAAAGGCTAGACGTGAACGCCGCAATAGGGACAAAGCGACCAGCTGAAATCATTCTGGACCAGCCATTTTTCCAGGAAAAGGGTCGTTTCGGTCGTCCATCGCTTGTAGCTCGCCAGGGAAAGGAAGGAAAATTCCAACGAGCGTGAGAGTCGGGTCCAATGGCATTTCTTCGATTTGTTTGAGTTTGTCTCCAGGCCGGCATATATGTTTGCTCTGCGGAGCGTCTCTGGTTGTCATCGAGGGACTCGTTAGATTCTCGGAAAGGGCTGGAAGACGACATAAGCGGCTGCAGGTCGCGATTCGTATCAAAGGTGGCTTTCATGAAGGGTTTCCGCCCAACCCTTTTCACGATGCTGAGGACAGACTCCAGCACAAGAATTGCCGACAACGTCCAAACAACTCCATGATGTGAGCTGTTGGGATATAAGTCGGGTGTTTTGGACTTGTATGCTAGACCGAAGACAGTCCCCAGCCCATGTAGTCCGAAAAGTACGATTCGGGCCGGATATACAAGGTTCGAACTGGCGATCTCCAACGAAGCCACTGGAGGTTAACGATTAGCGTTCAGTCCCTGGGCCGAGAGAAACGAGGCACTTGCAAACGGGAAGAGCTCCTCCCCAAGCCAATATCATAAGCCCGATATGAGCATATAAGATATTTGGAGCGATAGGTTCTCTAAAATAATTCTCGGCCTGCGAAGAAAGCGACATGGTCACATTGGTTTCGTTGGTACGGACTCGAAGTGATGTATCGTGGGAGGGAGGACTCTGAAGAGGTGAGCACGTTGGTACGGCACTGCGAAGTGCCTGTGTCTGGAATCATGATTCTATATATTGTTCGGAATTCCCGGAGACAGATTGCTGCAGTCATACGGTGGCCTGAGTTGGTGTGACTCTCAGAGCCATCAATAAGCAACTGCAGACGATTCAAAGCCTCGTGGGATCGCAATTTGTAACCCTAAAAAGGATACAGCCGTGAGGCGCTCCAGGATAATGGATACTTGTGACGGCAATATTGGGGCGTGCCAAGGCTGACGTAGAGATGGCACAAGGCTGTGACTGAACTAGACCGAAAAGGGCAACAAGTTGCGACGTTGTGCATGCTGTTTGAGTCCGTGGGCAAGATGGACTTTAACAGTATTTGGCGACTTTGACACGTCGGTATCTGGATGTAGCTAGTGGGAGGACAGCGCGAGTGATGCCGATCATGCTTTCGGACGAAGGATATGTGCTTGCGGAGTAACTCGATCAAGCTACAGCTTTCACAAGACCGAGATTGGAGACTGGCCAGTAATCTAAATCAGATGTATGATTCGGCTCTCTCGCTGTTAGGATGCTCTGCATATCTCTCGGGAGCATACCTACGCACGCTGGTACTTGACAAGGCAACAGGTACAGGTGCCCATCATCAGCAGTGTGAACGGACGGACAGTATCCGATAGGGTGGCATAGTGCGAAGTGACCTTGGGCAAAAGTACCATACAACAAGAGCAAGAGTCAGGGGTCAGTGCCATGCTCCGGATAGACTTCAGTGGCCCTCATGACTGCGCTATCGTGCTTTTGAATGCGGTTTGAAAGTGCTTGTTTCCTTGTCACAACATGCCTCGTCGATGGCGGTGTCTTTGAAATCGCTATTGGAGGAGAGAGTGCCATGGTCCATACTGCACAAGAAACATCCTTTGGTGTCAAACAACTTGGGACAGCGTAGATCTCGATATAGGATGCTCTTGTTGGCCTTTCCCTCCGATCGCTGGATTTACACCCAGGTTGCCCACACTGCCAGACTGGAGTCTTGCTTGCCTTCGACGGTACGGCGAAGAGGTCCTCCTTCTTGGGCAGAGAGTCACTGAAACCATTTAGCATCAGATATTGGACAGGCGGAATAGCCGATAAGGCTACGATCTCTTCTGGCTGGTTATGAAGTCCTGCCCTGGTTTGTTTTGGCGAGGCCAACGCCTTTTTCTTTCGCACCAAAGGGCGGATCGGCGACGGCTGTATTGTATGCTATACTCCGTCTCTTGCGTTTGTTCTTCTCCTTCTCCTTGAGCCCACTTTCAAGATCACTTCGTCGCAGCTAGCCATGGGTTGGCCGGAGCAGAGACACCTGGAGCTCACAGGTTTCGCTTTCGCTTCGAGTGATGGCCGAGTGTTGTATGGGAGTTCCTAGGGCGCTGGAATGCGGGCGGGTTTAGTAGATAGCAAGGAATAGAACCAAGGGGGTATCTGTAGCTGAGCCTCATAAGTTCTAATAGAAGACTAGGACCGAATCTGTCGCCTCAACTTGAGGTACACTTTCGGCACGAAGTTCTGCAGCCTTTGTCCAGTTCTGCTTTGCTATAGCTTGTTGTTGGACTGTCGTCACTGGCTGTTCAACACCTACTTACTCCATGGGATAAGAGGAGCCGCGGTGCTCTTAGAGCGCTTGCAGCTCCTCAACTCACCCATAGCCAGGTTGAACTGAAGAGGACATCAAGCCAATTCCTCCCAGGTCCCTGGGCAGATATGTAGCTTCGGATACTCCATAAAGCCTCAAAAGGTACTCCGTAGGTACAGGACTGTACATGATGAAAGGATGATTTGACCAGGCTCACACATGTTGAACTGCGAACTGTCGCATTCGATATCAAACGATGCGATCACCACGCTAAGCCCATTTCGAATACCTCATAAAAACATCTGCTGATGTAATCATCTTTCGCTACACTGTTGACGTTCCTCGGACACCGAGACGCGTAACTCTGCCATGTTAACTTGAGCTCAAACTAAGTAGATCTAGCATTGGTCTAGGCTGGCTAGTGAGATCGTAATTGAGGTATTTAGGTCAAATCTTTCGTCTCCAACCCACAGGTAACGCCTCTCTAGCATGATGCCCTCGTGAAGTTTATGGCATCATTCCAATCGACGGATCCAGTGCATTGTCCCAAGCGCGCCAATCGAAATTCATCTGCGAAAGTATGCCAGGTGACAAATGTGACTGCTCTTCATCCACTTGAAAGAACTCTCGTGGCATTTCTTCTTGCACCGCCGGCGAAAGGTCACCGCTCGAATGTGGATGCGAACTTGGCGCAGTCGAGTCGTCGTTCACAATCTGGTCGCCACAGATGCAGGAGCTTGAAGAGATCGCCGGAGATGGGTACAAGACGTGGTGATCTGCTCCAATGTGTTCCAGAGCCTTCCTTCGTGTCCTGAGGAGCATCGTCCAAGCATCCTTTCCAGCCGGCGAGAGTTGACGTTGAGGCGGTTCATCTCTGCTGACAATGCCCTCATCCACTTGATAAAGTTCGAAAATCGCATCGATCAACCCACGAGACAATGCCGCGTGGTCGCTGTGGGGATGTTGTAAGAGGTCCGCTAGAAGAGTTGCTACAGCTTGAAGAGGCTGGTATGTTCCGGGATACATCCAATGAAACGGTTCCGATGTGCGATCATTGCAGACTCGTATGAAGAGCTGGAGGAACGCTTGGGCATGTTTGACGGCGCTGTGTTTAACCATAGATGTCAGCTCATCAACGAGTCATCTCATCCGGGATCTTTTCTTACTTCATTCTGATCACATCGTGAGCAGACATCGCCGGGTCACGGAAGAGGGGGCGATAGAGCACACAATAGGCTTTGTGGACCATCAGATGCAGCAGAAAGACGGCCCAAATCGTGAAATCTACCACTTCTTTGTCATTGGGGTCCGGTCGTAGACCCCAGACGCGGTCGAATGGCCGTCCACCTTGGCTATCGTCTTCAAGAGCTCTGTTGCGGGTGGCTGTTGGTGTCGAGGAGCCAGAATTTGACCTCAAGAGTGTCTCGACGGTAGATCGTACACTGTTTGCAACATCCCTGAGTCGTTTGGCCACCTCGTTGACCTGATCAAGTGATTGGAAATAATCCTCGAAATGATATTTCAAGACCTCCCGAATCTCCTTGGTGACTTTGTATCGTTGAAGGGCCACCACGTAGCGTATATCAGCTGCACGAGATGGTCAGATGACATCCGAAATGGAACAAGTATGGAGATGGCCAGATACCTTCAATGTTGAAGCCTGCTGCACCTTCAACCCAATCATACCGGGCGATTTCATCCGTATTTGCCATCTTCTTGTTGATGAAAAGGGGCGAGAGTCCCGAGGAGCTCGACGACATGACATCAAGATGCAAGATATACCACCAAAGGCGTCGCCTCGTCTCCATCTCTGCATGCGTGAATCCTGCATCAGGGATGTGCCGATGAAGACCCATACCAAGTGCCAGTCGAAAGGAAGTGGATATGAAATCGGGCACGTCCGAGAACTCTTCTTCCCTGACGAATTGGCTCTGTGCGAACAGATATGCAGCCAGTGAGTAAATGCTAGGACGTCGAGGGAATCCGGTCAGGCTTGCCGACACCATAGCGGCAAAGTACATTTGGCCCGTCTCAGGAACATTTGTTTCGCCTAGTAGTGCCCTCACTCGCGGTTTAGATGCAGATGACAACGTCGAGAACAGAATCGACGTCAAAAGAGAAAGAAAACCTGGCTTCTTGAGCAACAGGAGGCTGGGCTCACTGTTGTGCATATTTCCTTGCCTGACTCCCTCCCAGAACTCGGCGAAATCTTCCGCGAAACTGTGGAGGTGTAAAAGTGGTATCAAGGGAAAAACCGTGGAGAAGAAAAGTCTGCACAGTTTTTCGCAGACATCCCTGGTTGGCAAGAGTGCCATGACACACGAGACATTGTAGTTTCTTCCGCAGAACTTGCACTTATTAGATGCTGCTCCAGTCCACAGCGCTGAAGGTCGAGGTGGTCGAAATTTCGAACCAGCCCATCCCTGATGATCTTCAGATGTCAGTGGCCAACGGACAAAGTGGCTCGAGTCATCCGGGAGATCATCGTTATTGTCCAAGCGGTTGCTATCCTTGAGTTGAGAAGTTGGCGGGCAGTGCTCTACAACATTGGGGGAAAGGACGTACCTTTGACAGAAGTGGGTTCGCCCAGTATGTCGCAGGGGTATAGACCGATCGCCCACCAGCAAAGGCTGCCAGGCGACCTTTCTCGTTTCTATTTTGGCTTGTGTTGGTCCGTTCATGTGCTGGGTGCGACTTAGCATGTCAGACTACACTGGCGAGAAAGAGGAGTCCTACGCTCATGTAGAGACTGGGGGACTCTCGGCTCGTCAACTCGAGGGAGTGCCGAGGACGTGAACGATGCAGACTGGGTTCCTGTAGCAGATGGCCCTTCTGGTAGGTCTATATTTGTGCTTGTGTCGTAGGTGCAGGTCAATCGGCTGCTATTACACCGCATGCACACTGGATGTGTCTGCCGCCATGTCAGTATTATTCAACACGCTCCTTATCAGCTCGCTAGATCTTACCCTATCACACCTCACTCTTCGTTGTCTGCATGTGAGGCACGAAGTTACAGGGCGTTGTCGCTTCATACTGATCAATAACCTGATTCAACGACCTCCAAAGCGAAAACTTCCAGGCAAATCCAACGGGAGGTAATCACTGTGCTGTGTGCAGTTAAGAGCAAAGGAAGAACGGAGAGGTCAACAGTTGACCGATTCACCGTCAACTACCATTACTATTCTCCACAAAGGCTGTGGCGATAGTGGAGTCAACACAGCAGAAGAGACAATTTGAACCTTTGAATTATGAAAACGGATCTGAAATGACATGAAATATTTCACTGTGGTTATAGCGGCACGTAGGGAACCCATTCACTAACTAAAAGTAAAAGAAAGACTGGCCGCTATATGTGCCCTAGCCCTGAGATCGCACCAATCGCCTTGAGCTTGTAAGCTGTGCCCTACCAGCTCCCCAGTTGCCTGAGAGCAAGTGCCTACTTTTCTAATGGTTGGCTAGAAGGAGAGATGATGAACCGAGCTAGTGCAATGAGGGTGTTTATTCAGGTGGGCCAATGGAATAACGCTACAACCGCGAGGCGATGAGTCGACTAGACTATCTTCCCGAAATAAAATATTCTTCAGACCAACAACCATCATATCTCCTTCACCACATCGTCACCTTTTCGCCCACGAGACAATGGGAAGTGTGGCTAGGCATGGACGTTGAATCAAATCTTTTCCGAGTACTGCTTTCCTTGCTTTGACCCTGAAAAAGGGAAGTACTTGGAATAGACGGTCTGGGGATCGTTTATGACGAGATCATCGCATAATGTTGCGCTTGTGGGCAAGAAGACCTAGAAGAATATCCCCTATATTCCGGCATGGAGGTCCGAGTTATATCCATCAACAGTTGGCGAGCATTGCTACAGGAGCAAACACACAACCCTCTTCAGAAGATCATCAACCTTTGCTAGGTACTCATACTGGTCATCATGACACAGAGTTAACGAGCATTTCGGCACGCGCCCCAGATATTCGCTCTCGGAAGGATAGGCTGCGAGACCACCTCAAGCCATTCTCCGAGTTCCTCACGGATTCATATTCTCGCCAACACAATTATCTCAGAATCTCGATAACCGAGAGGTGCAACCTGCGATGTCTATACTGTATGCCTGAGGAAGGAGTTCAACTTTCTCCACCCTCACACAATTTGACAAGCACAGAAATCTTGTATCTGGCCAAACTGTTTGTTGAACAGGGTGTGACAAAAATCCGACTTACAGGAGGTGAACCTACGGTCAGGAAAGATATTGTCGAGCTCATTCAAGAACTTGGTGCTTTAAGAGCGATAGGATTGAAGGAGTTGTGTATCACCACGAACGGAATCTCTCTGGCGCGAAAATTGGACTCTCTGGTGGCAGCTGGCCTCACCAACATCAATCTAAGTCTCGATACTCTCGATCCATTTCAATACACTCTGATGACCAGACGGAATGGCTTTGAAGCTGCCATGAAGTCGGTCAATAAGATCCTCGACCTCAAGAAAGGAGGATGGCCAATCAAATTCAAAATCAACTGTGTGGTCATGAAAGGATTGAATGATCGCGAAGTAGTGACGTTCTCTGAACTCGGCCGGAACGAAGACATTGAGGTTCGATTCATTGAGTATATGCCCTTTGACGGTAACCGATGGTCCAAGGGTAAGATGATCACGTATCAAGAAACCCTCGACCTCATCAAACAAAAATATCCAGACACCCACAGAATCCGAGACCAACCCAACGACACTAGCAAAACCTACAAGATCCCTGGTTTTGTCGGGCGCATTGGTTTCGTCACTAGTATGACGGAGAATTTTTGCTCAAGTTGCAACCGACTACGGATCACAAGTGATGGAAATCTAAAAGTTTGTTTGTTTGGGAAGGAGGAGGTATCGTTGAGGGACATTCTACGAGATTACAACAATGGTCAACCACTGGACCAGTCGTCCCTGCAGACCCTGGAACCCTGGAGTGTCAGTGGCCAGGAGGGACTGGAACATTCTAGCAATACTTCTCCAGTGTTGCCAGACCCAAGACCACGACTCCTACGTCTCATAGGCATGGCGGTGAAGCGAAAGGCAGAAAAACACGCTGATCTGGGCGAACTTGAGAAGTTGGAAAATAGACCGATGATCCTTATTGGAGGGTAGCAGACTAGAAGTATGGAAGCCTGCCCATCCATTTAGCTTACCATAATGAAAGGATGGAAGCTGGTCTTTGCTACTGGTACGAGTTACTCGTACTATTGCAATTTAGATTGTTAGATGAGCATCAAATGCCGATCTCTTCAATGAGGGGGTGTGCAAATTGTCTCGTACGAACGGCTCGCGCGAGATCGATGGGTCAAGTTTGAGTTTAAGAAAAACCCACATGGCATGCAAAGCGCAGTAAGCAAAGGCAAAATGTGGCCCGGAATACCCGGCTGATGGGGCATCCACGTATCAATCCTGTAGATCATTTGAGTTGTCTTTCTGCTAGCTGGGCTGAAAAGGCCGTGTCGCCCTCCATTAGTGAATTTTTGTGTCAATTCTTGTGGGTAACCACCAACTCGGTGTTGATTGCTTTCTTGGTTACATGTAGGATTAACCTCCAGATACATGCAGGGATACCTTCCAGATACTTTATAGCTTGCAGTCACTAGTGCAATGAGTCGACGGTCATTTTGTGGGCCCTGACGACCAACATGGATCCTGCCACGCTTTCTCACTCGCTCCCTCTTCTCACATCCAATATATGCACCTCACCATCATGTCAAGCAGTCTCACGCTCCCGTCTTGCCAAAAGTCCCCTCTGCCATTCCATTTGTCGCCGGGTGCTGCAGCCTCTTCTTGCTGACCAGCCGAAGTCCACCAACCAGCATAATGAGCAGCTCAGCCCCCAAGATGACTCCAAGTGTGACCATTGCGCCAATCACTCCGCACACTGCCTTTGAAATGCCGTTGCCATTGCCATGGCTAGATGTCGAGCTTCCACTGACTGTAGAGCCGGCACCGTCAGTGCCCAAGGCGTCCGCGGAACAAACCCCAGTGCTATTTCCACAAGCTTCACACCATGCTGCCTGGCCAGAGATGGAAAATTTATTCATGCCATCAACAAAATCATTCCATGGAAGGGGGGATCGCTTGCTCCCAAAGAGAGGATACTCTACCGGTTCCGAAATGTTGGATGTAGTGCCATTGTGGAACAGGAATCGCACATATATGTCATCGGCTGATGGCCAGCTGCTTGAGGTGACGGTGGAATTCGTTACGAGCTCCCAGGTCAAGGTGCTGGCATAATCGGGAACGCCAAAGAAATCCGGGTTGACTGAAGTCAAATTGCTGAGGCCGAAGAATGACTGCATTCCACCGTACGCTCCAAATTGGATGTTGACTTTGGACTTTCCATGTCCCTCAATGGTCGAATTCAACGCAGTTACTACTTCGGCAGCCAGGATGGAACCAGTGACTGCACGAATGGGCTCGGATGCGTTGAAGGCCAGGCCAAACTCATGTTGATCAGCCAAGGTCTTGAGCTGAAAGAAGTCGGCATCGTCTGGCAGTGGTACAGACGCGTTATGAATGGATGCTACATTCAGAAGATCCCAGACCACATAGGCGTTCTTGAAACTGGTCTGCTCTTCGGTGAAAGTTTTGGCAACATCAGAATATATTCTGTGGTATAATGACTCCGTTCGGTTGGATGTTTCCAGGAATTCAGCTGAGGCGAAGTAATTGTTGGAGCTGATCATAGCATTGGCGCAGTTCGTGCTTCCTTGCAACCAAGCAGAGTTCTCACTGTTGGATCCAGTCTGAACAGCTTGAAGAGGGATCAGTTGATAGCCATTGAGCGGGGACTGTATGAGCGTCCCGTTTCGAAGGGTATTAGACCCTAGTTGCTCGCCCACTGGAGGATAGAGACCTTGGAGGAAGCCTTGAGCAGAATTTTGCAAAACAGTGTCTGATGGAGCGGAAGCCGTTATCTGTGATTGCTTGACCAGGTCGCTGTTTACACCATAGATCCTTCTGCTTGCACTTTCGGCGACATAGCGATTGCGAAAATAGGTTCCCGATGTGAAAACTTCCTGGTAGCCGAGATCTGTCAAGTTGGCCGGAGGAGTCGACTTTGCTGTGCGATCCCCATGGCGAGAGAAGATGTAGACCCCTAGAACTGTCTCTTGGGAAGCGGCCAGCTGCGCCGTTGCAAGAGATATTAGCAAATATGAGAGACGCATGGTTTGCAGAGGTGAGATAGAATAGACTGGAAAGTGAGAAATTAAGGATCGATCCTATGAAGCGAACCAACGTGCAAGGTAGAAGACTGTGATCGTGTCCTATATCCTTTTTTTTTTCTGATTTGAATTGCCGATTGTGGTGGCTCAGAGAGATACCTGCTTTTCTTCACAAGCTGTCTCATTCGCTGTGACCGGATGATATCCTAGAGCAACAACACGAGGTCGGTGCACAATCTAGTACAGGTTCGTCAAGTCTCTGCTCACAAGTGGACACAGCGTAAATATCATCCTGGACAATATCGACATCAAAAGCTCTCATGTATATGCTTTAGCGGGATGTATGTGGCTTCTGCCGACCAATGCAACCTCTCATGCTGACCCGTCTACACTCAATAGGTGCATGACTTCGTATTTCCTGAGTACCTTCGGTTGGCACTTTTCCAATCAGTGGGCTAGAACCACCTCGCGTCGTTAGCTCAGATTTTAGCTGATATCGAGTCAGTTCAGAGTTTGTGTCCCGGACACCATTTCGTGCGATTAAGCGTTCGAGCTTGAGCAAAGAGTCAATGACCTCGCACAAGAGTTGACGTCAGCTTTGAATTGCTACTTCTGCCTCGAAGCCGTATATCCTGAGGTGTGCCACTTTAGTTCCCTCTCCCGTGAATATCTTTGAGCACACCATCTCTCTCTGTGTAACAATGGCTCATCCCAAGAGCACATTCATGCGACCTCTCCCTGGAGAGGCTTTACCTATTCACAATCGCCCTGACGAGTGGAAAATTGAGCAAGGTCTCTCTGGAGGTAAACTGCCCATCCTCGACCAAACAGGCTCTGAAACTCGTATCATCGCACCTCAAAAATGGCCTGATGTGGTGAAAGATGAAGCAGCTATCAAAGCAGTAGGAGATCCTGAGAAGCTCTTCAAGCGCGAACTGGAAGGATGGAAAGGGTACGATCCATCTTGGTAAATTTTGTTCACAGCCTTGTCCAACTGACTGTTGTACCTCTAGCTACGTGGAATGGGAGGACTACCCAGAGAAGAAAGACAAGGCTCGCAGGATCCTCGCTGCCCAGAACTTTCCTCCAAATCCAGAGTTCCAGATGGGACCAATTCCGGATTCCAACCCTGTTCTACCTGGTACCCATTGGAAAATGTGGCACCATGCCGTCGGTGGTGAACTCACGGACGTACCCGAGGACTCATGGGCAACGGTGCTGCGCGAGAAGCATCCAGAAATGTTGCATTTGCTTCAGTTTCCCTACAATGGAGAACCCCCCAAGCGACTTGTGACTGACAAAGCGGTTACACCCAATTCTCTTCATTTCGTTCGAAACCATGGAGGAATCCCCTTGATCGATAAACAGAAATTCTATTTCAACTTGGATGGTCTAGTGGCGAATCCAAGATCATTCACTCTTGACGACATCATGGACGAAGCCAAGTTCCCCAGAGTCAAGAAAGTGGTCACTATGCAGTGCTCCGGAACTCGTCGTATCGAACAAATTTCTCTCTATGCAGGTCAGGGTGACGAAGTCCCCCAAGCTCCATGGGCAGAAGGGGCCATTGGTACAGCCGAGTACGTTGGGATCAGCCTCAAAAAGGTGATCAAGGCTTGTGGAGGACTTCTGGAAGGTGCAAAGCATCTGGAGCTCTATGGCGCCGAGACTTACTTCAAGGACAATGATGTGATGAATTACGTGGTCAGCGTCCCATGGTCCAAGGTCAAAGCTAATGAGGTTCTTCTCTGCTGGGAGATGAATGGAGAACCACTTCCTGCCATTCATGGGTTTCCACTGCGAGTTATGGTCCTCGGATATATTGGAGCTCGAAGTGTCAAGTGGCTCTATCGCATAAAAGCAATCGAAAATCCATCTTTGGCCCCGGTACAAAGCAAGGAATACTTGTATTTCAATCAGCAAACTGGCAAATATAATCAAAAGCCGACCGATGGCATTCAGATTCAAGAGATGCCGGTCAGCTCAGCAATTATGTCGCCATGGACGAAACAAGTCGTCTTCCACAATGGCACAATTCATTGCAAGGGTTGGGCGTATTCCGGAGGCGGTCGTTGGCCGGAACGTATAGAGTTATCTGCTGACGGAGGCTTCAATTGGTATGCCGTACCGAACTCGAGTATGTCTCCAAAGCACAAATGGACTTGGAGAACCTGGGAATTCGACCTTCCTTGTGACGTGGAGGGTTGGGTTGAAATTGTCTGCCGATGCTGGGACAACTCACTCAACACTCAACCTCTGACTGTCCGAGCAGCCTGGAATTGGGGTCTTCATGTAACCAGCTCTGCTCATCGTATCAGTGTCTACAGCGTCAACAAAAGCCATGCCAGGACCAAGGAGAAATTGCAGCGATTCGTGGAGATGGACTCACCCCTTGCTCCGTTGACTTGGCCAGAGGAATTTCCAACTCAGAGCTGGGAGGAGTATAAGCAGTTCTGGAAGGATAACGATCCCAGAGACGTCGATGATTGAGTTCACGGACTTAGGACTTGTGCTGATCGGCTTTGCTATGTTTAAGACCATTTGGTAATCAAATTGCTTCTCTAGTTGTTCTAAATCATGGTCTTGCACAAAGATCGTCCTTGTTGGGCAATGCAAACCACTCTCACCGTCTAAATCGCCAATAGCCCCATTTCCTAATCCAAAATTCCTCCCAATGATGTCTCGGCGTCAAGTAGGGCCATAGCTATTGGAGCAAGACCGTGCGAGCGACCCCAGCAAGTCTGTGAGACAGGTCCAGGATGTATTTTGTAGCACGATTCTAAAAATGCCGCAACGAGCAGCAGCATGTAGGTGGCCAATGGCAATTACTGCATTTGCGATGGTTGCTGACGGATTACGGGGATAGGAAGTCTCCTGGTTTGGTTGAAACTTATCTCTAAGCATGCATCTGTATATCATCGAAAGGCCCGCCTTGAGCTCGGAGCCCTACGAGGTCCCCGCAATGACAGCGAATCGTGTCGATCGTGATGGAGGAGTGGAAAATAACACAAAGACGGTTGGTGGACTTTCTCCCTGCAAGCTCTACAGCTTCGCGTAAAGTCTCGTGCGAGGGCTCGTGCGAGAACTTTTCAGGGGTCTGACAGTGGGTCATTACTAAGTCGCTAAGGTTCGAGACTCCGACTGGTCTAAGGTATGAGGGGTGACCGTTGCAATGACCATTCAAGCGACACACCAAAAGCATGCTCAGTGATGTGAACGAAGATGTACTCGTACGATGGCATGACATTGCATGAAGCCAGAGAGGGAATGCAGCGCGGGTAGTCCGAGTCACCCGTCCTCACCATCGTAGACATAAAATGTTAGGTTGTGTAAAAGACAGCCCCTTGTCCAGCACATTTAAGTCTTGTGTTGGCATAATTTCCAGCTGTAAATCCAAGCTTTATTGACATCAGCAAAAGCCGTCGACAATGACTTCCTCGCAGCCATACTACACTCTCGCCGAAGGCGTCCCTTTGCCACGTAACGATACCATTCAACAACTATCGACGGGATCCGGGGGTGGTCATGTCCTGCTCACAAGCACACAGCTCCTTGAGAATCTGGCACATTTCTCTCGTGAACGAATCCCAGAGCGTACAGTTCACGCAAAGGCGTCCTCTGCACGAGGCTACTTCGAGGTTACAGATGATGTATCAGACATAACGGATGCAGATTTCCTCAACGGCATTGGGAAGAAATGTGAGGTCTTGATGAGAATCTCAACAGTTGGGCCTGAGCGTGGGTCGGCGGACACTGTTCGAGATTTTCGAGGCTTCGCTGTCAAGTTCAAAACCAACGAAGGAAATCAGGACTTTGTCTTCAATAACCAGGTAAGTCCGAGATACTATGACGGACCAAACCTGGTTCCTAGAGAAGACTAAATGCTAAAAGCCTCCAAGCCAGTGTTCTTTGTTCGCGATCCTGTCAAATTTCCCTCGTTGAATCGAAGCCATAAGAGACACCCGACAACGAATGCGTCGAATGCCGATATGTTTTGGGACTTTCATGTCAATAATCAGGAGAGTATCCATGCCCTTATGTTCTTGTTCGGTGACAGGGGTCTTCCATCATCCGTTCGTCACGTCAACGGCTACAGTGGTAACACCTACAAATTCACAAAAGACAATGGTACCTCATCCGTGTATGCACGGATCACATTCAAGACCAATCAAGGAATACACTACTATACCAACGCCGAGGGTGCCAAATTCGCCGGTACAGCGCCGGACAAACATATTCTCGATCTCCAGGATTCTATCAAAGCCGGAGACTTCCCTTCATGGGATGTGTACATCCAAGTGATCCGCCCTGAGGACATCGAGAAGGCGCCCATCAACATCTTCGACATGACCAAAGTGTGGCCAAAGAAGCTCTACCCGTTGCGAAAGATGGGGCGCGTCACTCTGGACAAGAACCCCAAGAACTGGTTTGCTGAGGTCGAACAGGCGGCCTTTTCTCCAAGTAACATGGTCCCAGGGATCGGTCCCAGCCCTGACCCGATGCTGCAGGCCAGAATGTTCGCCTATCCAGATGCGGCTCGATATCGACTAGGTGTCAACTATCAATTTCTCCCGACCAACGCCCCAACCAGCAAAGTCTACTGCCCAATCGAGCGGGATGGGTTCATGAATTTCACTCAGAACTACGGAGGTGATCCCAACTATATAGGCACGCAGATCAAACCAAACAGGTTCACTACAAGGACCAGCTCGGAGCCGACAAGCGAAGTTGAGGCACTTTCGTTATCGTCCAAAGCGAAGACCGCAGACCAAGTCCAAGTCACCTTGCCGGTCTCGGCGTTCACGGAAGTAACGGACAAAGACTTCGATCAGGCAATTGCTCTGTGGAAAATCATGGGCACACAGGATGGTGCTCAAGACCGTTTCGTCAACAATCTGGCTGGACATGTGAGTGGCGTTGAAACCAAGTGGATCAGAGAGAAAGTCTACGGTAAGAAAGCCCCCCAAATATTCACACTTGTAAGCATGCGTATGCTAATGCCATGGGCTGTCTAGAAATGTTCTCAAAAGTCGATAAGAATCTGGGTGACAAACTCAAGAAGGTAACGGAGGGGAAAATCGCTGGTGATCATGCCCATGTCCATAAGACCGCATGGCATTAGGGACAAACCATGTTCGTACTGATCACAATATGACTAAGGGTGTCAAGCAGCGTGGCGTTGGGATATCCAACAGATGCACAGTGTGGCTGTCCTTCGTCTAGGTTTACATGTATACATAGTAGGCTCGATGCATGCCCAGTGAAAATCAGCTAGAGCTAGGCTTCTTGACATCCAATGCTCGCTTATTCGCAATCTTTATCACCAGCTTGTTTCTTCTGCCTTCCATACTGGGTGCTGGGTGTTTCTCAGACCGATTGCTTCTAATAGGATTACATGTGGTAATAAAAAACTGAACATGGTGGGATTACATTGTCACAGCCCGCTATATATATATGGTTCAACCTGGAATTGCACGTCAATCACGCTAGTACCTTGTTACAGGCACAGTGAAAGTCATCACAAAGAACGGATAGCGTAGAATATTAAAGGCGTCTGGTGAGGTGAGACGAATGGAAGCGTGCTTTCTTTTTGTTACAGATAGAGAGGAGAGTGTTAGAGGAGGCCCCCAAGGTTACATCAATACAGCCCTGTGATCATTTCTTGTTGACCCATTCGGTTTTTCACGCATCAATTGCAAGCCCTCTAGGTCAACAGGTAGCCCAAAGCAAGCCCGAGAATGGGCAAGGACATGAACATATGACCCTTGCTCTTGTCAGAGGTGACCCCCTCCGCCTCGGACGATAAGGTGCCATCCTCAACCAGCCGCGACAAGACCAACGAGTCCCCCAGTGCGACCACAGTACCAACCAAGAGTGAGATTCCTAGAGTCCTCTTAACGGCGATGGAGGCGAGCGGGGAGTTCCGACATAGAGAGGAAATTTGCCAGAAGGCTGTGAGGGAGAGCAGTGACGCGCCGCTCGCGAGGTTGCGGATTCCAATGGCTTGAATGAATGCCTTCTGCTCGAAGGACGAAGTTGAGCCAGCTTTTGTGATCACACCGAATTGGCGTGCCCAATCGAACGGCGATTGGAGGGCGTAGATGCCGCCTGCTAAGCCTCCCGTCCCCAAGAGGATCGTCAGCCCCGGTAGCACGGCGGAGTGGAGGGAGGATGTGGAGAGAAGGGTTTTATCCATGACAATGATCAATTCGCTTCGATTTTGGGGCTTGAGGAATTGTACTTGTCTGTGGGATTGTTGGGATGATAAGATGGTCTATATACTATGGAGCAACTGGAAGCTGTGTTTGTTCCGATTCAAATACCGCTTTGGCACGGGACACGCGTGCTGCCTCAGCCACCGCATCATAAGTGAAACTCAATCGGACAACGGCTTCACCTTTTGAAGTATCCCGAGAGGCTGCGGGGAATCCGATACCGAGAAACCACTTTTCAGCGTATGAAAAGTCTCGACAAACGTGCATCTTGTAAGACTTAAGCTTGCTCAGAAATTTACCTAAGCTTGCAGCAATTCATTTTCGACGCGTGCGCCAAACGATAAGTAGCACCGGCTAATAATAAACTGCCTACGCCGCGTCCCTGCATTGCCCCGGTTAGAACCCTTTGCATGATTTCTAGAATATGAGCGACTCAAGCTATTCTGGTCTAGGTAGTTTCTAACTCATACACTACATGCACAGGCGAATTGTGTGTCTACTACCAGTGCCCAATTCGGTCAAACCCAATTGAGCCTTTGGGAATGCTTCAGGCCATCAAGCCAACCCCGAGACCGCCGTTGGTGCTGTGGACATTAGTCTGAGCTGCTGATGGCTTTAAAAGGCTTGTCAGAGCGCGTTCGAGCGTCTCATATGGATCAGACGTGGCCGTTGGAAAGCGACAAGCAATGTAGCGATCAGGCCGTACAAGAAGTGCACCGTCGGCACTGATCTCGCTCAACTTGGCCCAAGACCTTGTCGGATCACCAACGTCGCCACCAGCTGTGATGCGATAGCTCTCGATGGGAATGCCCGACTGACCAGACAATCGTGTGGCGGCTTCACACCAATTTTTCCCCCTGGAGCCGGTGAGTATGATGAAGTTCCCGATGCCTCCGAGGTCATGAGTCGACAAGCGGTTACCACGTTTGTTCAGCCAAACGTGCGGCAGTCGGTGACCTGGTCGAGTCGTCGGGGTGTAGGCAATGCCCATCGGATCTCGGAGCGGGGCTGGTGATCCGTCAGGAATCGTTAAGCCTTCCTCGTAATGGAAGCCTATCTCTCGGTCATGAGGGTCAAGCTCCATGCGGCCGGTACCAAACACTTCAGCTCCAACTGCGCGACGTGTCCTCCCCATAGGACTGTCTTCCAGGTACTTTAGGAATACTGCTTTCCTCTGCTCTGGTGTCTTGGCGTGGATCAGTCCAATTCCGGCTTCAAATGCGAACTGGTTTTGAAAAGCGAACAGCGCATACTCGATGTTGTCTTGGATCACTGGCCTTCGTTCGGTCTCATAAGTATGCAGGATTGATTCATTGGCCCAACCCTTTATCACTGCCGCGAGCTTCCAGGCCAAGTTGTCCGCATCCTGGATCGCCGACTGCAAGCCGAGCCCGGACGTCGGAGGTTGGCGATGAGCTGCGTCGCCGATGAAGAAGACATTGCCGACGTGGCTTTTTTCAATATGCACTGATTCAATATGCCACGGGCTGACACCCAGAATCTCAGCGTCTAGCTCTGGGAGGTTCAAGAGTGCCCTGAGACGGGTGAGCGCACGCTCTTTCGTGAGATTTTGGGCGTCCGGCTCATCAGGTGGGATCATGAGGTGAATCGTCCATGTCTCGGAATGGCGATCCCAGTTCTTTGGACCAGCCTTGACCAAAGCGCCACCGGTCCACGAGCCAAATCGAGGGCCAACGAACCAATGGACAACCACATCGTCGGTCACGTATTCGGAAAGGTCCGCTCCGAAATAAAGGCTCGTCATGGTTGCGAGACCAGACTGTCCAACCATCGAAATACCAAGCATTGGTCCGACCGTTCGGCCACCGTCCGCCGCAATAACATATCGTGCGCGAATCTTGTGCACATGACCATTCGCAACCTCGCGAACTTCCGCCACGACTCCGCCATCATTTTGGAAAAGGCGGGTTAATTCGAACCCGAAACATACCTTCCCTGGGTTTCTGTCTTCTGCATTGCTACGGAGCAGAGGCTCGAGAAGATACTGACCCAGACCGGCGGAGAGTTCGGGACTATCTTTCTCGAATATTTCCCGAAAGACACCTTCTCCATTCACGTCGAGGCTGAATAATTCTCGCCGGTCCAACTCGTCACTTCCCCCAAGAGAGGTTACCCAGGTGGATCGAATTCGGGTTTCGGCGGGCATACCAATCGCCTGGATTTGATCGGCTATACCATGGCGACGAAAAATCTCCATGGTGCGTTGGTTGTGAGCGCCAGCCTTGGGCATGTGCGACGTCCCGGGACGTCGCTCGATCAACAGAGAGTCTACGCCCAGATCAGACAGTAGGATGGAGGATGAAAGCCCACTGCCGCCTCCTCCAACTATGAGGACGGATACTTCGTCCGGTAACATCGCGCCTCAAGTTGCGATTCAAGTTGAAAAAGTATAGGATTGTAGATCGAGCGTTGGTTCAGAGAATAACGGCCCGGGGGGCAGACTGAATATCGCTACGATATAGATTCTTGTTATGATTTGGAAAGTTTAAACTTACAGCGACATAGGAATAAAAAGTGATGAGTTGTTTTGCCAATTGGAACGGTACCGTAAGCATAGTTCCAACGGAAGCGTGCCGGCAGGGGAGTCTATCTCGGAAATGCACCAGTATCGAGCTCGTCCCGGGGATGTAGTCCTTGTCCTAGGCGGGATGGTAGAGGGGGTGGGGCCATCATGAGTTCTATCAAGTATTCCGATCCCCATCGGAACGGGATGCTCACTCGTACGTTCTGTAGACACAACATTGGCCAGTTGTGCAACCGTTCCGCATGGTAGTGCCTGGTAAGAAGTGATTAATGAGCCTCCGGCTATAGCTTCGCCGCGAACTTAGGAAGTAAAGTTGAGCGCTTCAGCGTGCGAGTACACGACCGCAAGACTGCAGCTGCAGGGGACGATGTATGAGACCAGTTGAACCCTGATCCACAATGTGAACATGAGCTAAAGACCACAAGTTTCCGGAGCACAAGCTCTAACATTGATGTATGCCTGATTTTCAGCATAGAACTGAGCCTGAGGATGGACTGTAAGTACGAGTCGTTGAATTGACTTCATATTTGTGCTGACGCCATGCAAAGACGACATTGGGGCTGATGGTGACGTAATTAGTGACCTCGAGTACATATCCATATGAGATTTTCAAGGCACGTAGAGTAATGTACTACTTGCAATCTCAGCTATCTCATCCACAGATGGCAAGACAATCAAGCCCCAATGTCCAAACACGTACAGATCCAAAGGAAACCCTTGACCAAGTAAGACAACCTATGTTACACCTCGACCTTCTTAGCTTTTCCCGTGCCAGGCTTATGGAGAGTCTTGTTAACATAATTGGTGAGATAGTCGTTGACATCTTTGACGAAGAAGGCCGCAATGAGTCCGATACCCGTAAAACCCAAGGACGATAGATATACGATTTTAAATGCATGGGTATATGCGTGCTTGGTGGCCAAGGTAAGGGCGTCTAACACTCCGATGTCTATGCCAGGCACTGCTTTGAGTGCTGCTTGAGTTCCGTTAGCGACAGCTGCGAAAAGGTCTGGAATACTGCTGGCTGGTAGTCCAGCCGCCTCGACAGCTGTAGTGATCTCCTGAGGCAGAAAGGCACCTAGTCGGTCACTATAAATTGCTAGGAAGACGCTGACTATAGATTAACCGTTAATTCACCATAGTGATGCTCCTAAGGGGGGTACATGTTGACTTACCAGCAACGGTGCCGAAGGTTAGCCTGGTTGACCCAAAGAAGCCTTGAGCAACACCGATATCGTTGGGTGGAGCCACAAGTCCAACAATAACGATCGTCACGAGATTGATCCATCCGTTTGCAAGGCCAGCAAGGACGGTAAAAGCTACAGCCATGCCCTTTGTCCCGTAGGTCACGCCCGCCATACCGGTACAGAATGCAGCAGTCATTGAACATGCAACCAGCATCTGCCATTTGAGATAGCCTATATTCCTGAAGAGTGGTGCAAAGAAAAGCTCTCCGAAAACCAAGCCTATCCCTGTCGTAGAGGACAGGAAGCCGATGGTAACTTCGTTCGTGGTGAAAAGCATACTGATCTGAATTGGCCAGAAAACGTTCAAAACAAGCCAGACCATTTGCATCGTCGAGCCAATGAAGATACAGGCTACGATATTCGGAATCTTTAAAAGCCGGACAGGAAGTAGTGGCTGTTTGAGTGGCATAAATGTTTCGTACACACCAAATGAGGCAAGTAGAAGGCAGCCCACCACCAAGGACGCAATGACATGTGCACTTTGCCAGGAATACGTACCTTGCGCCCAGGTGAATCCGAGGAGGACTAGGATGAGGCCAGCGAAGTACAGCAAAACACCCTGAGATCAACATTAGTAGGTGGTAGCGACAATGATGTGTTCTGGTTGTATACTAACTCCATAGTCCAAGGATTTCACTTCCTTCCACTTGGTCATCTCGCTATTGATCATATGGAAGTTGGGTGGGAAGTAGCAGGTGGCGAAGAGAACCACTGATACTCCGGCCACGGCGACATTCAACCAGTAAACTCCTCTCCATCCCACGGCTGTATGGGCAATCATTGTTCTCGCAATAGCAGGGCCAAATCCCAAGGTTGGCAGGACTGTCACTGTTATCGCAGCCTGTCCCCAATGGCGGTATTTGTTGGGAAGTAACTCGTGGATGATCACAGGGTACAATAAACCTGCCGCACCGCCAATCCCAGTCAGGACACTTCCGCCGATAAGAACATCGACGCTGTTCCCAGTAGCACAGATTATGGAGCCAATGACACCCAGAGTTTGTCCACCAACAAGGAAATAACGTCGGCCTAGGATGTCGGAAAGCCGAGCGAAGAATAGGTGCAACACTCCAGTGAAGAGAGTGTTGACCAAAGAGATAAGGTAGATGTTTGGCGAAGGTCCAATATCAACGTTGATGACGGAGAGGACATTGACTGGCATTGAATAGCCAATAAAGATGCTGTTGGCCAGAAGAAAAGCAGCAAAGATAGACCCGATCAGTCGTGGCGATGCCCAATAGTTTCTGAGGTCAGTGGCATCGTGACCCAGCTCGTTACGGTGAAGAGAGTCTTTCGAGTTGACTTTCGTCAGTTGTTCCATTTCATGATGTTCAGCTTCTTGTTTATTGACTGTGTCTGCTACCGTTGTCGACATTTTGTGTCTGCCTCTTGACGTCGTGTATGGGAAGTACTTGGATTGACGTTGCAAAAAGATGATCTTGATTTTTGAGACCATTCTGAGCCAGGGGAGGTAGGAACAGTGTTCACCTGCTTAATATCTTTCGAAAAAAGCGTTCAAACTCCTACGGTGATAAGGCTGCCGGAGATCGGGGCCCCGGACGGGGTGTCGAACCGGGGTACTGAGCGGCGGGCTAGGCATATTTCTTCGAAAGAGTCGATCCCTACCCAGGGCTCCGAGTTCCACCGGCCCCTCCGGCAACTTCATTTCTCTACAATATTTTAAGAACATCTTGTGTAATATACCCCGACCTTCGCTCGGACTAACCGCGTCAATGACTTTCCTGGGGTTCATAGTCGAAGGGTTAGCAAGCAATTTTTCTCCGTACCCCCTGTGCCCCACATAATTGCCCCGTGGAAGAGTTCCTCCGAAGGCTCGGTGGAATAAGGCTTTGGGGGACTCGGTCACAACTAAAGAGTACTCGGTAGCTCATTAAGCGACTACTAATCCTACTCTTGAGTTTATTTGCCTGCAAAACGAACGCTTCCTTCGACGTAAAGAACAGATACCATTACCACCGTCAGGAAGAGCTATATCATGTTCTTTGGCCTCTTTTCGAAGGACTCAGGCATCGTAGGAGACAGATCCAATCCCATGGATCTTCTTTCTTCGACATCTCTTCGGTACTTGATAGCCCTTTTTGTCGGCAGCCTGATTGTCCGTTCAATCAAAAGACGCTATCTTACAGCTTTACGTACTGTCCCTGGCCCTTTCGCCGCGTCAGTCACGAGGGCATGGCGCATCAAAGAGGTCTACTATGGTCATATTGAACAGACAGAATTGAAATTGCATGAGCTGCACGGTATGATCCTTGGTTTAACCAGTGGCATAGGCCCAAGTACGGGACGCTAAGGCCTCAACAGGCCCTCTCGTGCGAACAGGCCCCAATGAAGTGATCACAAATGACCTCAACGCGGTTGATCTCCTCTACAGCATCGGAAGCAAGTTCCCAAAAGTGAGTTTCATATTAGATCAGAACGACCATAGATGACTGAAACTTCGACCACAGACAGACTTCTACAGACTCTTCGGATTTCCCGACGTCTACGGTGTCCACCAGTTCTCAGCACTTCCCAACATGCTGCATAAGAAGCTAGTGCGGTACACTGCTGGGGCATTCTCCATGACCTCGATTGTAGAACTGGAGCCGTTTGTTGATAGTTCGGTGGAATTCTTCATTCACAGAATCAAGGACATCGGTTCCAACAGCACTCCTATGAACATGGCCGAATGGTTCCAGTGGTATGCATTTGACGTGATCGGGGAACTTACATTTTCTTCGCGCTATGGCTTCATGGAACAAGCCAGGGATGTGGCCGACTCGACCAAGATCATTGATAAGTTCCAGGCGTATGTTTCCTTCGTTGGCCAGGCATTTTCATATCATTGGATGCTTCTTGGGAACCCTATATTGTCCTTGTTCATGAAACCACCTTCAGGAATAATTGGCGACGTAGGTCTTTTCAACCTTACGTTATAGGACATATGTACTGACTGGGCTGATAGATGGCTATTCGGGAGATTCAAGCTCGACAAGGCAGGTCTACTGACAGACGAGATATGCTGTCCCGCTTCCTCAAGGAACATGAAAAGCATCCAAATGACTTTACAATGTCTGACGTCTACAGAGCTGGAGCCATGACCATGTAAGTTTGGATGTCTGTAATCGACCCTTTTCCGGTGCATCGCTGACATTAATATAGCGGTGGAGGCTCTGACACAACCGGGATTGCGCTAACCGCTACCTTTTATCATTTGCTGAGATATCCTGAAGCCTATAAACGACTTCGCGCAGAGATCGATCAAGCCATACTTGACAATAAGCTGTCGAAGCCCGCTAAACTCCGTGAAACTCAATCACTGACATACTTGCAAGCGGTAATCAAAGAAGGTATGAGGATTCATCCATCGGTGGCATTCATCCTTCCTCGACATGTCCCGGAGGGAGGGTGCACTATCGCTGGGAAATACCTACCAGCAGGCGTAAGCTAACCACCCACGTCTTCAGCTTTTTCTCTATTGGAATGCTGATATAAATATTAACAGACGCGCGTTGGAATGAACCCATATGTCGTGCACAGAAATAAAGAGATCTTCGGCGAGGATGCCGACATCTTCCGGCCTGAAAGATGGTTTGAACGCGAGGAGAAGACTATGAATCGCTACATGCTACAGGTGGGTCAAACAGCAGACCACTATTTATGGTGGGATGGATGAATCAGAACTTTGACTGACGAGTTGCACATCATAGTTCGGCCAAGGGTCGAGAATTTGTGCTGGCAGGCATATAAGCATAATGGAAATGAACAAAGCCTTGGTGGAGCTTATTCGGAACTTCGACATCGAGCTTGCAGATCCGAATTTCGAGCTCAATACCATGACTCGATGGTTTTTGAAGCCTGATGCATTGCCTTGCATTTTCAAGCCACGCTCACTTCTTTGATGAGACCGACCACATGGACCAACCACTATGAATGTGAATGTTCAAGTTAAATTGAGGGAATCTCTAATATATCAACTTGATCGTGAAAACGGACCAGCGTAGAATAACTAAGCTATGACACGAGGTCTCTTTGTGCCTAAAAGATGAAATGCTATGTGCGTGTGCAAAGGGATTTTCAATGAAGACAATGCAATTCAGACAAGAGATGTGCAAGTGTACATGAGCACCATTTTCTATGGCAAACTATAAGATGATCGAAGCTTTGTCTATCCGGCGATTTTCACACTCTGGCCAGTGGTCGACTCCCTCGACCCGGATTTGTCTGTATTATTTAATGTTCAACCCTAGTAGCTTCTGTGCATTTTTGTAGAGAACCATTTCAATCTCCTCCTCGGTTAATAACTCACTCTCTCGAAGCTGCTTGATAAATTGCAGCCCATCATCCATGGAAACCAAAGGATAGTCAACGCTGTACATGATACGATCGATAGATGTAGATCGAATCAGGCATGCCATGGCCGTCACATCAAACATACTTGTGGTGAACCACAGGTTCTCAGTCCATACCTGGTCCCATGTCCGTTGAAGATGGAGCCAGCTGTGACCTGCGGCATACTGCATCCGGCCTTTCATAAAAGGCAGCATCTCACCCATATGTCCAAGCACAATTTTTAGTCTGGGGAACTTGTTAAAAAGACCACAAAAGAACAGGCGCAGAACGTGACTGCCCACATCTGCGTGCCAGCCCCATAGGTGCATTCCCAACATCAGACCGAGATCCTTGGGGTAATTCCCAAGATAGAAGTGGGCGTGTGTAGGATCTGGTGGTGTCGGGTGGATGTAAACCAGTGTCTCAAGTTCTTCGGCCTTCTTCCAAAATGGGAGGTATTTCTCTGCGTCATAAAAGATACCATTTGCATGATTTGGAATCAAAGCTCCCAGAAAGTTCAATTCTTTGACACAGTACTCAAGTTCGGCGCATGCTGCTTCCGGATAAGTCATGGGAAGGCACGCAAAGCCACGGAGTCGAGTTGGGAAGTCCTTCACAGACTGCGCGATTTGCAGATTGGTTCGTCGACAAACCTCAGGCGTTTCGAGACACGGCACCGATGAGATGACCTGTAGAGAAATACCTCCATGGTCAAGATCCCGGATCCTGCCGTCTCTGATATCCCGGAGCTGGGTCACAACCTGAGGTGGGAAGGTGTGTAGGCCGAGTTTGGACACCGAGGGTGAACCATATAGGGCGTCAGATATAAAATGATCTTCTAGGCTGATGGCTGGTATCATAACTCCTGGCGAAAGCCCGTAGAAGACTCAAGGATTCTTAGAGGCTGTGAGAGTTACCAAGGATGAAGTGTAAGGCTGGTGCAACGGATGTCTTCCATCAGTGGAGAAGTTCCATATGGTGCAGGAGTACGAGAAGATATAAATTGTTACTCAGTATCGTCACTCTCTACGGCATATTGCCCCGGCCGCGAATATCGGCCCCACCAAAAAGGAGCTTCGTTCTCGTTGAGGGACAATGTCATTCCCTGCCCACAAGATCGGCATTCCACAGACCAACCCCGGACTAACAAACCTTTCCTTCCCCATGAGCAAGTGCTTCTTCCGCGTCGAAACAAAGCTACTACAGTTCGGAAACGTCAAGTAACAGTTTCATCCCTTTGGGCGATACAGCAAAGCGATCCTCCATGTCCATATCACTCTCCGTCATAGCCTCGTTGAGGCGTAAATCTAGTTGCCGAAAAACCAGGCTAGCTGCCAGTAGCAGTTCTGCCCTCGCCAGGTTCTGGCCGATGCAATTTCTGGATCCTAAACTGAACGGCGTGAATGCCTTTTCCAGATCACTTGATGGAGGCTGGCCTATCCAGCGCTCGGGGAGGAATGTATTTGGTTCTGCGTATACCGATGAACTCCGGTGGTGGACGTAATTCTGCATACCGACAATCGTACCAGCTGGAACCACGATCTTGTCCGACTCCAGCGGGACATCAAGGACGCGTGGAAGAGTTGAGATGATCGTCGGATAGAGACGCATTGTTTCCTTGATCACTGCATTCAAGTAGGGAAGGTCCTTCACTTCTGCTAGTTTGCAACCTGCACCTTGAAGCTCTTCCCGTAATTTCAGTTGCATATATCGATTCTCCGGTTTCGAGAGAATGTAGAAGAGGTAGACAAGTGTAGAAGATGTCGTGCCGCTGCCTGCAAACGCCAGCCCCATTGCCTCTTCGATAGCCTCGTCCTCACTAAGTCGTCTTCCAAGGTATGCGTCCTCACTTCGTAGGAGTGGTGTACACATGAAACGCTCTGTGCTGTCCAGCTTTGATTCATGTCGAAAGTCGCGAAAAAGCGATCTCATGAACTGCTCGTAGAGCTTACTCTGTCTGAACGCGTGACCGACCAAGCCAGGAATATACTCACCAAGTCTTTTCCATCGCCTGAGGAACGGAAAAATTGATGACATGATGAGGACTCTCGGAGTATCCTCCATCGCCTGCAAGAATGTCACCGCATTTTCAATCGACTGCGCAGAGATGTCCTTGTTGAAAGCTGCTTTACAGATGACTTCCAGGCTGAATAGTTTGCACAGTGGCATGATGTCGGCAGTCCTTGTCGGAGAGGCCGCAGATCTTGTTACAATCCGCTCGACAAGTCTCTCACTCATTTCTGCAATCAGCGCCTCGTTTTCATTGATTGCCAGTTGAGAGAATGGCTGACTCATCATCTTGCGCCGGGCTGAATGCATCGCCTTGTTTCTAAAAGACACGGTCTAGAGTCAGAGCTGTGTATGGAAACTATCGCTACATGCTTTCTTACCGGAATCTAGCAAGATTCTCGTGGCCTAGAAGTGTGGTAGCCTTGTAGAACGAGTCCTCCTTTGTGGTAGTATTCTGGCTGTAGATCTTCCGATAGAGCTGGTAATCTCCAATTGAAACTTCCCCAGGGCCAATACGAATTATCGGGCCATATTCATCATGCAATTTCAACAAACTCTGTTGAGCATCGTCAGCGACTTTTATGGACATCAATCCGGTCTTATTGTCATATCTTGATCCTACCTGTGCACGATGTCCTCCAACCATCGCGGGTGCCATGTACTGTGGGAAGATCTTCGCCAGGAATGGGCCGGGTACTGCCCGTAATGGATGGAAAAGGACATTATAACAGGTCTTTGTGCGCCAGTCAGCGAGAACAAGCTTGGAGCAGGAGATTGATGTGAAGATCTGCATTATTATACATACTGTTAGGAGCAATTTAAGTACCCATATGCAGCAAATGGCTATACCAAGTGCAAAGATGCTGGAGTGCGTGGAAGATAACATTGGTATCATCTTAGGGGTGGTTTGGAGAGGCTAACGCGATCTGCTTGACTCTGGCTTCTCTTTATCGTCTCTGAAGCACTTGGATGGTGTCGGCAGATGGCGGACAGAAAATTATGTGTCCCAAACTGAGCCCACCATACTCGCTATCCCGGTTGTAGTGGAAGACCTTGGACCTCTTCAGCTATTTTATCTCACGTCAGGAGAAGGCCAGCTCTGGTCTAAGCAGCCTACTACCAAGATCAGCACATCCCGGGAAGTGTCAACGTAATCTCTCCGGTTCTCAATTCTTTAGCTCGTGACTCTAGGTTCAAGCAGAATCCTGTGGCATCACTTCTCGAGCAAGCGGAGATTTCGGGAGCCGGGAGAGGAGGGGGTGGATTCTTTGTATCCAAACCTCTAATTAATATTGGTGCCTTGGCTTGAAGCTCGGCCCCTACTCTTCCGGTGGGGTCGAGTAATAATTTTATTACTGGTATCGAGAATCGAGAAATCTGTTGTAGTATTAGTTTAGCCACAAGTACATTGACAGAAAGTATCATTGCCGAACACTTTGAAGTATAGTCTAGCATTTCTATTACTGGAAGTTGCCCTCTTCCACGTCGACTTCATCGCCATTATTCATTCGCTGTTGATAAATTCCGACTATGTACTTGGACCAGGAGTTGAGCTAGAAAATCATCAAGGCATTCGAGCTGTTTGGTAACATTGCGGACACCAGAGGAGCCCCCGCCAGAAGTACAGTGATACGTTCTTCTGGCCCAGAGTGAGGGGAACCGGTCAAACATGCTGAGTTGGGACGAGACGGTTGATGTCGTCGTGGTCGGATCTGGAGCTGCTGGCGTCGCCGCAGCTTTGAGTGCAGAGTACCACGGCGCAAGAGCGATCGTGTTGGAGCGCAGTGACAAGCTTGGAGGCACCACCGCATGCTCTGCAGGTGGCGTATGGATTCCAAACAATGATCATATGCACGAGGTCGGATCAAGTGATTCACGCGAGCAGGCACTCGCCTACTTGCGTAGCCTATCATTAGGCGGAATGGACATGGAATTAGCAGAGGTCTATCTAGATGAAGCTCCTGCTGTAATCCGATTCCTCGAAGCCGATGGATCTCTTTCCTTCAACGCTACAAGTTTGCCCGACTACCAGCCAGAGAACCCAGGAGGCACTTTCGGACGGACGCTGACCCCACAACTATTCCCGGCAGGGCAACTTGGGGACACACGCTCAGCTTTACGGCCAGCACCAAGCTTCCCGGTCCCGTTCTGCTGGGAAGACATCCAGCATGGCATCAACTTGATTGATCCAGCCGTCTTCCGCGATCGCCTCTCCAAAGGGCTGGTTGGGGGCGGAGAGGCACTGATAGCAGCTCTGCTCAAGCAAGCCCTCAGCAAAGGGGTTGTGTTCCGTCGCAATGCTCGTGCACGTCGCCTCGTGATAGACGATGGCGCTGTTGTCGGCCTCGAATATGACAATGTGAAGGGCCGAACTCACAGAATTGGAGCACGACGGGGTGTGATCCTCGCCAGCGGCGGGTTTGAGTGGAACAAAAGCCTGGTCAAGGATCATGTGGCCGGTCCCATTGAAGCACCGCTGAGTCCGCCGTCTTGTGAGGGGGATGGACTCATTATGGCTATGGAGGCTCAAGCAGCGATCGCCAACACGAAAGAGGCTGCA